AAAAAAAAAAAAAAAAAATAGGTTGGCTACCAAATCCAATTTAGTATCCAGACATGCTGCATCTGCTCGGACGTCCTGATTACCACAACAAGGAAATTCTGCAGCCCTCTCAGGCTGTAACTTCCCCTCAGTTCACCCTCATTTAATTTAAGTTTGTGGGCCAAAGAGGTTTCACAGTCTGTGACATGTATGCATGAACACATTGTATTTCCCCTCCCTCCCTCCCTTCCCTTGCAAAACCAGCTGGAAGATGATGTGAGGGAAGATCACAAGGATGCACTGAAATCTAAATATAATGCCAGTCGCTCTGCACATTGTTACTCTTGCAGGGATTCAGTCGTCAGAGCAAAGAGAAGTGGATTTTTAATGGGCTGAGATATGATTTAGATGGAGGAGGCTCATTTTCCACTTATGCTGTACACATGAAGAGTCACACACGCAGTTCCTCACAAGCCGAGGGCCCCTTTGTACAGGAGCCAAGCATATGTGTTTTTAATAAGTTTACAGTGTTGCAGATGAGGGCGCATGGCTGACCAGGCTTAAAACAAACACAGATAAAAGGATTATGGACACAGGGCTTCTGTGATCGGAAGTGGAGCCACGAGAACGTGTGGGAATATTTGGATTTCCCATGCTATCGCGTAGTGTTTGTATACCCTCATGATTACTGACTCTAACTTGGGAGGAATTAGGTGAAATAATATGAAGATCCAAACAAGCGTGATGACACATGTAGGCCCCCCCCCCTGCTGGGGCCAGACGTTTCTCATAACACTGCGCACACTCTTCTCACAGTGATTACAGCGGCCTGTGAAATTAGCAAGCAAGCCTGTAAAACCAAAACCAAGGGAGGTGTGTACGCTGTAGCTTAATTAGCATTTTACCCCTTGTGGTTAAGCCACAGACCATGAGTGCTGGTGAAGGCAGAGCTAAAACCACTGTGTGCCTTCTTTGTGAGGGCGCGCTGCTGTAGGGATTAGGCTGTAGGTGCAGTTCACGGGGGTCATTCCTCTTCTCGCGTCTGCACACTGCTCTACTAAAGTGTCACAGTGTGTTTGAAGGCAAATGTGCACGCTTAGCCACCGTGGCGCGGCCCTGTCATGTTCAGGTTTTTTTTCTGTTGCTCATGCTATCGAGGAAGCCTGGGAAATATTGTAGCTACTAGCTCGGATATTAAAGGCCGGCGGCTCCTGTGTCTCATTATGCAAGCAGTGCTCCGAGAGATCAGCCCCCCCCCCATGACTTCATGATGTGGAAAGTTGTGGTGACTGCAGAGTGCTCGGAGCAGAGCCCCGGGTCTGTTGAATGAATGCTAGATCAGGTGTGGATTGCAGTCTAGTAAACAGACATCAGATGCTTCGGCCACATTTCAGAAAAGATATCGTCGTCGTTGGAGACTTTATTAAGTAGTCAGACAGTGCACTGTGCTTCTATCCATAAGCGTCCCACATAATGATTCTCATCTGACAAAAGGATGCTTAGTGTAAGAACATCAACAGCTTTGATCTTGTTTCAAAGAGGGGGCCCGCATACGTTCACTTGGCCAGAGTGCGGTTGGATGTTTGAGGTGTGGACACCGCGGGGCTTGTCAGCAGAACCAACACAGCTGTGAGATTAGAGTGCAGAGACACTACAAAGGGACCACATCGCATTTCCAACACAAAATAACCAACGGTCACGGTACACACTATGAATGGAACATGCAGTGGGAAAACAAAAAAGTGCTGTTAGTTTCAACACTGAACTTAAGGAGTTAGGACAAGATGATGTAACAGCTTGGGTGCTGGAAGCTGACTGTCTCTTATTTGATATGTGAAATGTCTTGTAGTGTGTCACCTCATCGAGCTGAAATATCCCAAACTTACTTGGAGAATGATGTAAAAATAAGCCCTCATATGAGCAGCTGTAAACTGTGTTGTTGTTTAAGGTAACCCAAGTAAAGTATTGCGCTACCATGCACAACTTATATAGATTTGTTATGCAGTGCACCTCTGAGCTACACCTAAAATAAAATGTCTAATACATTTCTTTTTGCCACTACATATTTTGTACATTGGTTCTGCTGCAAAGATACTCCCTCCCGAGCTAATAACCACAGATCCACATAAAGCCAGGCAAAGTTAGCGTTGAAGATCAGATAGATCGGATGTCTGTCTGGATGTCTGATTTGGGGTAATAGGGAAAACAAAGGGCTGTTTCAAGATGGAATTAAATCAGAAATTGCTGCGGGAAAATAGTCTAGTATATTGTTTCAATTAAGTCAAATAAGTTGTTCTCTTTCATCTTCTGCCCTCACAGTCCAAGCTGAATATGGAGAGTTTGACCAAGCCAGAGTTGCTGATGCTCTTCAGTATCCTGGAGGGAGAGCTGGAGGCCCGGGACCTGGTCATCGATGCCCTGAAGGTACTCATCAGTGGAGCTAGTAACATAATAACGTTAAAGTCATTCTCTGAACAAAATCTGTCTTTGTAATATCAAACACACACACACACACACACACACCCTCTAGGCTTGAAAAGGGGCTGTTAAAAGCTGATGGTTTTGATGGTGATTAGTGGTGACGAGTTTTCACGGCAGGGGAAAAGTATCAAAGTGACTGAATAAACCTCTCAAACTTTAGAAGAAGAGATTACAGAATCAGGAAGAGATTTTGCTACAGCGCTGCTTTGGGAGGTTGCTGTGGATTTTGATACCGTTATTCTTACGTATTGGATCTATAGAGTTGTGTATTATGCTTGTAATGTACCACAGGCATCGTTTTTGGTGTTACTGGATCTAAGGCACATAACGATCTGGCAACAAAATAAGGAGAAAAAAAAAATCAGCAAAAACTATTGAGATTTAATCTAAGTTACCCTGGATGATGGCAGTCATTTCCTGCCAGAAAAGTTCTGTTTTATGGAAACAACAAAGCCGTGTGTCTGAAGTTAATATTCGTCTGGATCTATCCAATTTGCTTGCAGCAAACTAGTCTGTCTCTCTGAAGAATGGAGTGAGTCTCTTGGGGAATTGTCTCATAAGTCACCCTTTTCATAAGTTTAAATGAGTAGACGCATCCCAGTGAATTTGAACGTAAACTCAATTAGAATTAGCCACAATGTTGAGTACGCACACACACACACGTTTCGACAGAGCAGCTACTTCCAAGTCTTATTTTGGCGGGATTTAAATTAAAGGATTGTCAGACTATTTTCCCCACACTGTGTCCTTTGCTGTGCTGTGTCCCGCAGCCCCACATACTCCACCTCTGAGTGCCTGTGCATGGCTTTAAGGATGTTTAAAACAGTTGTAAACTCACTTCAATAACACTGTGTCACCGTGACACTGTTAATAAACCACAAACCTAAAATAGGCAGTGAATAAGCAACCTAACAATGGAGCTTTTCTGCAGAAAATGGCCATACCTTTCTGAAACATTTATACAACACTGCAGACTTTCTTCTCACGATTAACATTCGACGCTCTTTGGAATGCTGTTCACTTTGCTGGTGTAAAATGCGCCATTGAAAGAACAAACTGCACAGGCAGCCGGCTAAGAGAGCCTACTGCTGAATGTTCATGTGTTGTGTCTAGACCACATTCCTACATCTCTCCTGGGATCTGGCCATCTAAGGCAAGAAGAGTTACAGCACGCTGGGTGCCTGATGACTCAATGTGAGCGAGAGTAGGAGTGAACAAATAAACATTGGCCTTAACTAGAGCTTGAGAGGAATATGGCTGTGCTTCTTTCATGGCTCCACCAGCACAAACTGTTAACCCATTCAGGTCTGGGATTGGATCAATGCTGCAGTGTTAACCCTCGCAGAGCCTTAAGGAAGGGTATAATCACCGATCTGTAGGAAATTCATTGTAGGGAGTAAGTAGAACTGATCTCTTGAGTTAAACTGATGTTTTTCCAAAGGCGAAGCGCGACTTAATACCTTTCTGCTGTTCTACCGTTCAGGAATTGGTGTGAGGTGGAATCTTGGGTCTTGCCTTCACATGAAAATAAATTGCTATCAGTATAATGTCCCCCCATAATTATTTGGTCTTGGTATTATTTTGCTAAAAGCAATGCTGTGTCCAAGTTTACTGAACTGCTAGTGTGTACACTCTGAGTCTCGTTCCAACAATAAGACACGGTCCAACATTAATTAGAGAAGTGTCTCTAGTCATCTTGCTCATGTCCGTCTGAACTGATGTGTCACCGCTGCACAGAGTGTCATGTGTGAAATGTTTAGCTCGGCCACAAATCACCATGGGAGTAACACCACTGTTTACTTCTTGGCCTTTCATGCCTTTGCTCATCTGGTTAAAAGTAGTGGAACTGGCGAGTTTATATGTGTTATCCCCATTCTCCGTGTTCTATTTAAATCTAACATTCTTATCGGTGATTTTTCTACAGGATATGGTGCAAGTACAGGATGTGGGGTTAATGATGTGGTTTTTCTATGGTGCTCTATATTTAATTATGCAGAACTATCGCTGGCATTCTAACTATCCGCTGCATTTTTCCTCTTGTGACTCACTTCTGCAGCTGCTCACGCTGTGGCTTTCAAAAGGAAGTTAGTCTCTGGCAATGCTCGTATTTGGCACACAAAGCCCTGCAGTGATCCAGTCGTCCCTTTGCTTTGGGAAAATAATAGGAGTCTTTACTTTGAGTTAAAGGGGGATTCAGATATGGAAATGAGCCTTTTAATTAACTGTTGAGTTCACATGGTGTGCTTGACTAGAGCTTCAAAATGGACAAACTTCAAACAGATTTACCTTGTGTTCTCTTAGGTAATGGGGCAGCATAAAATAGGGGAAAAATAGCCTTTCCTCTAGATTCAAGATGCATGAGCTAATTGAATTCAGCTACTGTAGCATTCTTTGCATTTGATCCAAAATCACGTGATTATGATCGATAGTGTTCTTCAGATATCCATATCCATGGCAGAGAACAGCATGCATGAGCATTTCTGCCTAAGCGACTCTGAAATATATAGGACTCTAGGGTAAGAAGTTCATATATCACCTTCCTGCAGTATTATACAGATCTTGCCACCAGCACTGCACGACTGAAAGAGTCCAGGCATGTGTCAGCAAAAGATAAGCTGGATTGGAACCAGTGCAGCCATGGCACAAAGACGGCTTCCCAAGCAAAAGCACACAGGTTGCCAAGAACAGCATCCAACAGACAAAAGCATGAATAATGGCGGTAGACTGTGATGAATAACAGACATGCTCCGAATGTTCATAGGTATTGTACATGTACAGTATGATGTAATGAATAAGCTCTGGTAGATTTGGGTGTTAAATATTAAGTAACGGTAGAAATGCGTTTCCTGTAATCCCTCTTTCTGCTTCCTCCACCCTCTCTGCAGCAGAGGAGGATTGATGGAAAGGAAAACAGCCTCCCTTTGTGTTGTGGAAGTGCACGTTTGTATGCGCATCGAAGGACTGGGGAGGGAGCTGAGAATGAGTCTGTGTTTAATAGAGGTCCTAGGATTTAGAAAAACACTGAATTTAAAGGCCAATTATCAAGTTATGGAAATGCGTGCATACATAAACTTCTAAAGAAAGAAAGAAATCTGAAAAATCTACATTAAGTGTTCTCTTTGTACGTTTCAGAATGTTTTCCTCCTTTATGAGCAGTGGCTTACAAATTCATTTTCTGTCTGTATTTCATGTAGCTGCAGTGATGAAAGTCAGACTGAGTATATGTCCTCAAGCAAAGTGCTGTTGGTGTCAAGAATGGAAACCCTGATCCAAGCGTATTTAATCTTAGACCGTAAAAGTGACACATCAGAGCAGACAGTCATTGACGGGAACAGGGATGGGCTGTGGGCCAAGTCTGTAGTCAGATTCCTCTTTGAAGATTTTTTTCTTCAAATGTAGATACCTACCTTTTAGAAGAAATAAAAAGAGACCAACCCTAAAGTAATGATGGACAGTATAAAATTCTATTTTTAACTTTAGTATTTATATGAATCAAAAATATTCTTTGGCAGACAAAAGTCATGTTTTCGAGTCAGTCAGATGTAAAACCTGCATTGTATAAACACAGTGAGGAAGAAGGACCATGAGCCACATTCATAAGACATTCTCTATCACACACAAGACTTATGTTGAGATGCTGTGTGGTCACTGGCCTTTAGATTTCGCCCACATTTAAGAGGCATTTTTGAATCCTCCTGGGCGCCCTGTGTTTTCCTGTTTCACCCCTCCAGGCCGTTTGATCTGCCTTCACACCATCCTCAGCGGACTGGATCAAATAACAGCAGCAAAGCCTTGCCCTCCTCTTTTTGTGCCAGACGAGCCAATATTGTTGAAGATGACGATCATGAAGCCTGTTATCCTTTATGGACTGCTGCTTGAACTTTGGCTCTCAGTCCGTAGACATCCATTATCAGGCCCTATATTTGTTTAACTGGATTCACTTAGAAAAATAATTCATTTGCTTTGACAAGGTGTGTTCAGTCTTATAGATTTGTAGTCTGTATGATTGTGGGTTCTGGTATTTTCAAGTGCTTTGTCATGCGTTTCTTTCTCAGTGCTGCTTCCAGTTGGTTGACATAAATCTGTCTTTGTACGAGTGCGTCAAGAATGATTACCGCTTAATCATCAGTTATATGCAACTCGTGGAAAAGTATTCGTGAATAATTTCTCTTGAGTATCAGCGATGCACCAATCCAACCTTTGAATCTACATTACATACAGTTAATTTATCAATCACTTCTTGTCAAAATTTTTTTTTTTGTATCAGTTACATGTATTTACAGTGGGTTGCTGACTACATTTTTAATGCTACAGCAACGCCTAGCCTCACACTCCCTTACATAAAAAAGTGCCAAGAAGGTCCATGCAACAAGATATATCTGGGGAAAGGAATGTACTGGTAGACTACCGTATCATCAGCGCTGTTTATTGGCTGTTAGCTGAGGTGGTGGAATCTGTTCTGGAAGAGAAAAAGTCGTTGCATCCCTAGTTAAAATAGCCAAAGTTATACTCCAAAACAGTGAAAACGCACGGTATGTACATTCTGCCGCTAGCGGCCTGGAAGTTGCGTAGTAGCATGGGATCGTGGGAGCTGTCGACTTAATTAACAACAACCCCCACTGCTGCTGAAAATCTATCTGACGGAACTCAGAAATCATATTCACGGAAGAGGTATTGTATTAAAGGTTTGTCCACATTACGTTTAGTCACCTTAGCTGACTTCCTTCCTCACTATCAGGGAAACACGTGATCCATGCTTCCCTGGGAGTTCTAATAAATACATGGGGTAAAGGGGATATGATGCCAAATTACAGATTTCTCTGTGTTTGAACATGGTTAGAAACATTTGGAATAATATATTAACAGAAACCAACAAAACGTATAACGTAGGTCTAGTTGTTGTTGATTTTTATGTTACATATTATACCTTTAAGTAATCTTGATATCAGTCGTCAGGAGCTCGGGCCTCACCCTGCTAGAGAGGATACTATTCTCTGTAATCTCTTGATCCTCTTTTGTTGAAACCTCACTAAGACACATTGCCAGCTTTGCTGTAGCCCTTCTCGCTCTCCCTCTCTCTCTCTGTCTCTCTCTCACACTTTAGCCTCTTTTCACGGCAGGCCCCAAAGGCATCTGCTGAACCTGAAATGTCTTGCTGCCATTATCCCTCCTTTGTCATGAGTTAAACAGAGAACAGGTCTGCCTTGGCCAAGGCCCAGTCCCGAGCAGCTGTCCTGCTAAAGATAGACAGACACACACCATCTGTTGCTCCTTCCTCATGCTAGCGCTTTTTCTCTTGTATTTTTATGCATTTCCTCTCCCTCTCTTCCCCTTCTTTTATCTACTGCTCATTTACCACTCAAGCACTAGAGATGTTAATCAGGGTGTGTGGAGCGCAGTATTTGATTTCCTGTTTAAATAGAGGAGCTATGACAGCAGCATGTGTCAACTAAAATCCTCAAATCAACTTAAAAGTTCAGTGGTGTGGATGTCAGTTTTTTGACTTGCAACTAGGGTTAGATTAGTCAGGGGATCACTAAAGTTATTAGGATTAATCACCTGGGGAGCATGAACAGTGGTACCACATTTCATGGCACTGCATCCAATAATTGTTGAGCTATTTCGGTCTGGGCTGAAGTGTTGGACTAACCCACCAAACCAACATTGTCATCCTTGAAGTCACGCCACTAACATGGCTAAAAATCGATCTTTGAAAATGTACAGGCAGGAGCCAGCATTGAGTCACAGCTGAACGTCTGAGCAGCCAGACAAGTGATCCAAGAGACGATTCACATATTACAGCCAAGTTACAGTCTTTCTGTAAGGACATCCGTGCAAAAGCTTAAGTGAGCTAATCAATTCCACTGATAAACATTTTCTGCCACCTAACCATCAGACTACAGACATACTATAACTAGTGAATCGATCACTGCCCCCTCTCAGCGCTCCCTCTCACTCTTCTTCCTCTTGCCATCTCTCCAGGCCCAGCGTAAAGAGCTGTTTATCCAGGAGCGCTATGGCAGGTACAACCTCAGCGACCCCTTCCTGGCCTTGCAGAGAGACAGTGAGGCTGTTGGGGGCCAGAACAAGGACCCAGGCTGTTCCTCCCCCACCTCCAATCCTCTGGTGGTTCTCAAACTGGTGGTGAGCCACTGCAGGAGGATGCAGGAGAAGATGTTGGCCCAGCTGGCTGCAGCGGAGAGCAGGCACAGAAGGGTGGGTGTGGATGTGTGGTTCTTAATTAGGGGAGGCAGACATGAACTGGTTGCTTATGTGGAAAAATTAAAAATTATTAAAAATTAATTATTAATTAAAAAAAATAGATCAATTGGGAAACATAAAACATAAAAATTGGCTCCAGTGGTGGAAAATATGTTAAGAAATATGAATGGAGAAGGCAGCCAGTAAAGTGCAGTTTTCTTCTTAAGGTATACAATATTAAACAACTGCTGACAATAAAATGTTGGTACACGAAACTAATTTGATTAAAATCATCCCTCTTCACTAAAACCTTTTGTTTCCAAAATGTTATTTTCAGCAACAGCAGAAAAACAAACAGAATTGTTTTCAGCATTAACTATTTTCACAGGCACACACACACATAAGTACTTTCACAGGTGCAGGGTAACAGGCAGGAACAATGCAACCTGCACCCTGATGTCACGTTTCCAGTTTTTCCTTTTGTTTCAAGTGAGCTTGAGTTTGGAGTGTGAACACACTATTATTTAAAGTGATGACACACAACATGTTATTGTCTCCTGATTTCATTATTAGTTCAGTATATTGAATGTTCAAAATCCCTGTTATTTCATGTTAATATCATATTATAGTTATATAAAACACATCAAGAAACAAATATTTAAACTACTTGTTGAAAAACTACGATGGATTTAAGTTCCACTTATTATAATTGTATACATAGACCATAAAACATGTTTTTTGCAGAGAAGAATATGAGGTAGGTTAAGCTGACCATTTTAAATGTAGTAGAAAGTCTTTCATCAAAGAGTCATTAAGGCCTTTTATCATTTTGGTATTCAAATACAACTTTAATATTTAATGTACATTTGCACCTTATGATTGCTGCTGTATGTTTTAGAAGTGAACGAACACAAAGTACTCTATCATTTTAGGCTTTCTAAAACCTCAGAGTGAAAACTATACTTTACTCCGCAGGCGGGGCTGAGCATGGCACTTATTTACATGAGTAGTAGTTGTTGTTCTTGTAGTTGTAGTTGTTTAGCTCAACTGCCAACAGTATTTTTGCTTACACTAGAGTAATGCTATCGCTTCAAAATAATTGTTATTGGCCTCAATTATCGAGCAGAGGAAACTCATGTGAGACCATTTCATTCCTGACTCTCTGTCTCCCCGCTGTGTTTGCTTCAGGTCATTGCAGATCTGGAGGAGGAAAAGAGGAGGCATGCCGAGGACACAGCAGAGGGAGACGATGTCACTTACATCCTGGAGAAAGAGAGGGAACGCTTACAACAACAGGTGCCTTCTAATTAATAGTGTACTCATTAAACGTACTGGATAAATAAAAAGCAGTCAATGAGTGATTGAGGAAGTTTTAAAGAAAGCAGTATCAGTACCTTCAGCACTGTCTGAAGCAAAACAATGTTAGCTATGTATTCACTAAGCTTATTTAATGTGTCTCAACTCCAGCTGGAATTTGAGCGGAGCCAAGTCCGACGGTTGGAAAAAGAACAGCGGCGGATTACTGACCAGCTAGAAGAAGAACGGGCTCAGCACAAACAGCTCTCCTGTGCTTTGGCCAAAGAGTGCAAGTGGGCCAGCGCCAGGGCTCTGGAGGAGGGTCACCGGCTGACTGAGCTGAGTCGCAAATTCGACAAGGTATTAGCATTTTGAATCCAAGAAAGGGAATTTATTTCCTTTTGTCGTTACAAATGTTGGAATGAATGAACAAGCTTTTTTCTCACGCAGGAAAAAGAGGCTTGTCAGGCCCTGCGGAAGGAGCTGGAGGATGAGAGGAGGAGAGCCCTGAGAATGGAAGCGAGGGTGGAGGAGCAGCTTGCCGAGTTTGATACGGAGCGAGAGCAGCTCCGCTCGCGTTTGAAGAAGGAGGAAGCTCACTGTTGTCTGCTACAACAACAGGTGGGAACACTCGAGCACATTCATCACGCAGGTGGCAATAGATCGCAGATTGTGCATACTGTAACTACCTCAACTAAAGAAAGATTAGTCTGCATTGTACAGCAAAATTACTGCTTAAAAATAATCTTTTTTTATCCCCCCCCATTTTGTGATTAGGTGGAAGAGCTGAAGAGGAAGCTGGAGGAGGCCAATACGATGAGAGATGTTAAGGGGGTAGTTACAGCTCAAGTGGAGGTACAAGAAAAGGTGTGGGCCACTAAAGTTCCCCCAGTAAAGACAGCAGTAGACACTATTAAGGTCGAGGACATTGAGGAAGACAGAAACCAGCAAACTGTGCAGCCAAAAGTCAACGGCCACCACAGTCCAACGGAGACCAATGGGCACCATGGTCCAAACAACGCCCTCTCAGAGAAGGTCTGCCTACAGAATGGGAATGAAAATCCTCCAGTTCATCAGACCCAGACATCGCTCTCATCCTGCAGTGCCACGCCCTCCACTCTTCCTCCTTCCTCGCCCTGCGCCTCGCCTGTCCTTGCCAAACACCCACCAGGCAGCCCGAGCCCTGGTAGTTACCAGTCTCCCTACCAGGCCGGGATCAACCAGCGCTTCCACGCTGCTCGTCATAAGTTCCAGGGCACCGTTGAACCAGAGCCTCAGTCACAGGCCGCGCAGCCTCCCCTCTCGCCAAAGGAGGTCCCCCCTGTGACCAGCAGCTCCTCCGTAGAAGCCAGCCCAGTCAAGCAGATGGCCCGCAGCACAGTCACTCAAGTCCTATCTCGTTTCACAACCGTCCAGCAGAGTGTTACACCAAAGCTCGCAGCACCGAACAATTCACCCTTCGGCACAGACTACCGCAGCCTGGCAGCGCCCTTGTCTCCGGTCATCGGAAGGGCTGCAGGAATACTTCCGCAGGGGATCAGATCACCCACCATCCCGAGGGCAGACAGGGGCAACCCTCCACCCATCCCCCCCAAGAAGCCCGGTCTGGCTCAGGCCCCTCCCTCCCCGGCCGCAGTGCCCAGGTCGTCCAGCCATTTCTCTGACAGCCCCCTCTCAGGAAGCTGTGGCCTCACCTCGAGCCAGGAGGGAGTCAAAGAACTGGACATGGTGGTTTCTTCTAATTAACTGATTGTTTGATTTGTCAAGAAATTAGTCAGCTGCTGCTCTGCTTGTGACACGATGGTTTAACCCACATCATAGAATTATGATTGAGATATTGTTTTGTACATGACAGGATTTGTATCCTATGCTTATTTGAACAGAGATCCCTTTAAACACTGTTATAATTGTATTTATTAGATTATTTTTTAAATATGTGCTGAGGCACTATTTTAGGTAGTGGTTCAGGGGCTGGTACTAATGAGAAGTTAGTTTTAGTGTCAAATGTGCCAATACTGTATGTTGGGCACACCTTACTGTTACAAAATATTAAGTCTTTTTATGTCGTTTTATGTCCAAAGAATACAAATCAATTTATCACATGAAGAGTTTTTTTCCCCCTATACTTTGTCTCTAGTATGTTGCTTGTTATTACAACAAATACTGTAATCTTCAGACCAAATATAGTCCTTGGACCAATGTATGTTACATTGTCTCATTTCAATGTGCACTCATGTACGTAGCTGTCGTTTTTATAAAAATGTATAGTTCATTTTATAAATGTTCCTTAGTTATTAATGTCTTGATAGTTTTACACAACAGATTATCTCATCAGTGTTGTACTGAGCTTTGTTCATGTATTACTTTAATGAAGCATAGTTATGATAATCTTATAGGCTCATGTTCAGGAATCATTGTACAATATCTTGTTTGAGATTAGTGATTCTGATGAATGTCACCCCTTTGTCATCTATAAGAAACCATTTTAAAACACAAGTATTATATAGTCAAACAAGGCTTTGATAAATATAACACAACTGCCGTGTTGGTTATCTCTTTTACCAGATCCTTTACAGTATTGTATATGCTGGAAAGTTACAGATTTAATAAATGAATCCCAAAGATTTTCATGTATTCATCTCTTTATTTACTCTCATAGGAATGTAATGCTGCCAGCAGGCAGTGGTGTAGGTGGTGATGTACTAATGTTATGAGGAGAAGCTGCTTATAGTCTCTGGCTTGGAAAAGATTTAGTGTAGGGCTGCAACCAACCATTACGTTCATTATCAGTTAATCTGCCAATTATTTCCTAGACTAATTGATTAAATCTTTGGTCTATAAAACGTTATGAAATAGTGAAAAAAAAGATTTTGCTCATACAGCTTGTTTTATTTATGTCCCAAATCCAAAAGTATTCAGTTGTCATATGTGACAAAAAAAAAAAAAACTTGAGAAGCTGATTGAAGCTTGATTCAGCATTTTTGCTTGAAAAATGACAGACAGTGAATTGATTATAATGCAGATTCATTTTCAATCGACTTATATTGATTAATTGACTAATCTCATACTTAGTATTCTTACTCAGAAAATGTTAGATACCACAAGTAGTATAAAACCTTGTGTCATTCAATAGATAATGATAAAGTTACTTCATGAGAGTTTTTGGCCAAGAAAGGAAAGTGTAGCTATTGTATGAAATAAAATGAACAAATGCATTTGTATAGAAAAGTCCACTAATGTACTATTCTGCAGTATGGATATACAGGGGTGTTTTTTTCTACTGTACTGCCAAAGACTGTCCTCTAGAGGTCAATATTTGATAAGTAACTACGTTTCTTACAGCAGACACGAATGATTACTCACCACAGGACATCTACCACTGTTTCTCTGATATACAGAACATACTAAATATTTAGTAGATTGTATCGATGTGACTTGGATCTTGGTTGGATCTTTTTTTACTTGGTTGGCACCATAAAATATAGCGGTAAAAATGTAAAAAGTAATAAGCCATGTTCATATACTGTATTATTTTGTACTTCATTTATTTATGAATCCATAAAAAAACAAGTGTGTTGGTTTCATGCAGAGTTTACATGCAATGTATTTCTTTGAATATCTTTTTAAATAGTAACAATAGTTTTAAAGATGGGTGAAGATTACAGAGACTGCATATATATACAAAAGATATTGATTTAGTACTATATTGATAGCTTTATTCTATCCTCTGCACGCGTGACACCGATGCACCGTGTATTCTACGTACGTATTTGTGTGTATGTGGTCTGTGATGATATTTGGATGCTGAAAAGAAGAATCTCACCTTTTGCTCCTGTTTGGTTGCGAAGATAAGTTATGAAACCCTTAAGTGGACTGAACTGTTTGTTATTTTGCGCCCTGTGTTGCTTCAACTGTAAACAACGCTCTAGTGGTATGTTTTTAGAGTGAAGCAACTTACGAGAGAAACTGGGTGGTGATGATGACTTTGCAATTGCGAAAGTGCACAGAATATACAGAAAGACGCTTGACAAAGATCTGTTTGGTCCATAATGTCACAGTATATATAGAGTCTCTTTCACACACACACACAGACACTCTCAGTCAACGTGGCCTGACATCATGACCAGCAGATGTATGCGGAGCACACGCTGACTGGGCTTTCCGTCACACTAAATCCCCCTCTTGGTTGTTGGGGAAGGGTTGGCTGGTTAACGGGACGGGTCACCTCTTTTCTGCTCAGCTCACCTAATTAACATTCCAGTGTAGGACAGCAGGGCCGCATCCCAAATCCAGCACAGGCACGCCTGGTCCTCCAGCAAAGCCCCCCCATCTTTTTCAGCCTCCATAAACACAGGCTCAGGTTGATGAGCTGTGAGAGGCCACGTCCTCGCTGCTGTCACTGCCAGCATGGCTGCTCAGCGCTCACTCTACTGTACTCTACTGTCGTCATCTGCTGGGAGACAATCCACGACACTTAGCAGAAGATACGATAGTTGCACTTAAGCCTCACTTTTTAAAAACTTGGATGTCATATCTGCGTTGACCTGAAATGTCTTTGTATGCTTTAATATTCAAGCTCTGACTTCAGGCTTTGGGCTGCATGACTTGGATTAAAAATAGAGCTTTTTTAAAAACTTTTAGTCAAGCTATGGGTCACGACCCAAAATGGAGTTGGCTCTCCTTTTGTTAGGATTTCACATGACAAGAGGGGTAATAATGAACTTTTTCCCTAAGAATAAATCTCAGAGCAGTAGATTACGTTTGTCCAACCTCAGAAAGTTGGCAAATCCTTTTTCCTGGCGAGGGCATGTACATTTTTTGTCGCTGAAATGTGTTCTTATGTAAATTTGTTGGAGCTTTGTAAGGTTGTGTGAGACATGCTAGTGATTAAAGCACTATATATATATATAAATAAATGAACTTGAACTTGAACTTGAACTTGAAAAGGATTGCTGCAGCCACATGTCCCTCCTGGCCGGATCTGGTAAGTGCTATACTTTATGACTGTTGTGCACAAAAGCAGATGTACAATAAGACACATGGCTTCATGGCTGCAGCGCCATGTTGTGTGAATGAGATGACAAAACCGAGGTCAAGGAGGGAGCACGTAACTTGTCAGGAGTTAAACCGCAAATTTATGGCCGTCTCATTTCAGGCCTGTTGCATAAAAGCAAAATGCAGTCCGTCTGGTCATCACTCTTCTTGTCTGTATCAGTGGTCGCACATCAACGTCATCATCATCTTAGCGCTCATCTGTGGCTTGTAGTGCTCCAAACTCATTCTTATCGTCTTTTTTTCTTTCCTCCCTCTTGTCCCCTCTTCTCCATCCAAAATTAGCCCAGGCCATGAGATGGGCCTAGAATAGGAGTTCAGGCCCCCACACTGAGCCTCTTAAAGACCACAGCTGGAGCTGGCTCAAAGCGAGACAGAGGGAGAGGGAGGGCCGGATGACGAGTGTTATCGCCACCATCACCTGCTCCCTGTAAAGCAATTTGTTATAGAGTTGTCACTGTAAAATCCATAGCTTGTCCTGGGGTAAAGAAAGACAGGGTCACATGTAATGAGGATCCGAGTGTCGCTCCAAATCCAGATATGACATAACGGAAGGACAAACAGCTGGGCAATGTGTGCGTTTCTGTCTATGTGTGTGATATAGAATAAGAGGGAAGAACATCCAGTGACAGAAAGGACACAGGCTTGAAGCCTACAAAACTGTAATAAGTATACAATGTTATATGAATTTATTTGTTGTTTTGGAAGTAATGACAAAAAAAAGAAGTATTTCCTGATAAGAAAATGTGTCATTTGGAAAACCTTACATTCACAAACACACTATTTCATCTGGTGTCTGTACTCTGGTATTTTTAGGCAGCTGCACTGTTACTGACCTTTATGTAGGTCTCTAACTAACACCCCTGGATTTGCACTGATTAAAATGACCTCACACTCCAGTACACACATACTGCGTGCACGTAGCTTCTCGTCAGTATCTTTCTCTACCTGCTGGACACACACACGGCACCAAGTGACTCACTGAAGTCGCAGGGATACAAGCCAGATATGTCCTTGAGGTGGGTCATATGTTTCCACACTGGCTCGATGAGACAAACCTGTTTCTGAATCGGGACTGTTGATATGAGCTGAACTACAAACATGCACTGTGGTGGCATTACAGTGCATATACTCTCCCCACTCTCCCACACTGAATCTCATGGCTTGAAGGTAACTTTTGAGAAGTTATTAGTCCTTTTATAACAGAAAAGAACTACATTGGGCTCCATACCAAACTTGGAGAAACCAGGCATTACAGCACACGACAGATAGAAGCCATGTCAAGGGTCAACCACCACGATAATGTAAGCTGCTACTTCTACTGTGTGCAGTTGTTCTTCAAACCAACCATATGCAGACAAGTGACTGGAGTCTGATTTTGGGACTCAAATTATTTATAAGGCCAAAGTATTTCCTCCACCCTTTCCCAGAAGATATTTAATACATATATATTGTTAAATATTTGTTTGAACTGTATCTTCCAGTCCAATGTGATCCCCATCTTTGAAGCAGACTCCAGCTCCTGCTTCAGTTCAGACATCTTGGATCCAGATTTTTTTATTCTCCAGGACACTCAGCCTCACCCCTTGTCTATTCTCCCACTGTATGGATGGTTATCTTCTTCTGTGTGTGTGTGTGTGTGTGTGTGTGTGTGTGTAGTCTGCTTGCCAGGTCTTAATGGTAGAGAGGAGGTCACATTGTTCAAGTCCTACCTGTTTTGGTGGCACCTGGAAGTTGCTTAACATATTTTCCATATGTTAGCTGTCTATTGACCTAACATTGTCATTCAGCTTTTTTACAGTGTAATCTCTGTATTAATATTTCTGTCTTTTCTGTACTCATGACATCTATTGCATATCTGTCCTTCCCGTCCTTTTATTTTCCTTCAATTATTGTTTTGTTTTTGGCAGTTTGTTATTATCCAAGGATAGGCGCTTCAAGAAAATTTGTGGTTTTTGCTTTTAGGCTATATAAATAAAATGGACTGACTAATGTTACAGATATCTGATGAGTTCAATTTTTAAACTGAAATCTATGCATATTTACAATTGGGAAACTGCTTTTAAATGACTTTCTTGAGCCTGGACAATCTCTATTTACAGAACCAGTGTGTAAGATTTAGTTGCAGATTGCATGTCCCTCGCTTCCCCTTCTAATGGAGCAATGGAGAGACTACGGTGGCCATGCAACAACAAAGATGTCTGTTTAATGTGTTTAATTTTGCGAGAGCATTGCATTGAGAGCAGTCACACTGGATCAGCAGGCATATGAAACAATACCCAAAATGCCCCCTGGAAAGGATTACCTATCTCTATGGAGACACCAAGTTCCTGTTTAATGATGTGTCAAAGCATTAAGGCTTGACCCGTCATAGCTGAAGGTTCCCAAACAAAACTTTCTCCTCCACACTGAAGACACTGTGTGCCTTTTTGGTTCAGTTGCATAATTCTAGACATTAAGTGTGTTATATTATAACACTTAATGGTTTTAAACTCAATGGTTTCAAACTTTCTGTTATGAAATAGAGATTTTAGTGTAGGAATGAGCCAAAAATATTTTAAACTCATTACTCTGGAGTGTTTAGAATTTTAGAGAACCGCCTATAATTAGATATAAACGGAACTCTACTAAATGTCCAGGTTTTAGACAAGACCCTAAATACTGCTGCAATATATCACTGGTTGTATAATGGTCGCTGAAGTGGCAAAAAAGTTGGATGCGTTGATTTTTAAGTAGCAGACATCACAGGCAGGGTTTTTCTTTTTTTTTTTTTTTTCCATCGCGCTAAATATAAACATCTCCTTCCCTGCTGTCTGTTGGTCTACATACCGCTATTTGTAATTTTCTGACAAAGGGGTGGGGGTGGAGGGAGGGGGGGTCACAGACAGCTGACGCACCAGCGGAGCGCACGGCGCTTCAGTGCGCATCTTCATTCCCGGCTACAGGAGGAAAGGTGTGCACAATGTCCGTCGCATCCTCGGACATAGTTCATCCACTCGACTCGTGTCTGATTTAATCGACCTGTACCACTTTCGCTCCTGTGTTACAGCACCGGATTGGATGTACTTTGCAACTTCCTGCAGCTTTAGTGACATTGAATTCGGTGCGCAACAGCTGAGGAGAAAAGGTGATTTTACTGTTAATACAAGACTGTTAAAGGCATGTGATACGGATCTGCTCACTCATTAATTACTTTCTCCGACGCCACTGAAGAATATGGATGCGCTGACAGAAAATCTGTATGGCATTATTAAACTTGCAGCAGTAAACTGATGGAGTTCAAAACCACTTTTCCTCCTTTTGAAGATCTCTTAGTTCAATGATGGACGGCAGGCAATCGTCAAGGACTTTCACACCTGATTGTGCAGCTTTTGCCAACACATGAAAGGAAGAAACATGTTTTGTCTGGTGAAATCTCGGAGCTTCTCAGGCAGCAGGAGGGCTATGGGGATCAGAAATGGGACAAAAGTCCAACATCACTCCAAACCCATCTCCAAAATTTACTTCAGTTTTATTTTCCTCCTGCTCATTTTCACACCGAGAGTGGATTCATCGTGGTGGTGAGTGAGATCTTTGAAGTGCATTTGCTGATATTTAGATTAGTTTTAATTGCAATCACAATTTATCAGTTATTTTAAGAAAAAAGTGAAGTTACAGATGCAAGTGTAGAACAACTGATGCAAACTAAAATTTAACTCTTAATTACACGTTTCTTTATGTCAGTTTATTTATAAAGATGGAAAATTCTCTTGTGAAAAATGCAAAAAAAAGGGGACCTAACTTTCCACTGCTTATTTGATGAACATGATCTAAAACTTTAATCTTGATGAAGCCATTCTGTAGATTTTTTGTTGCCAACAAACCTACAAAAACAGCTTAGTCTTTGTCCATACTTACATACAAAATGTCCAGTCAAATAAAAATGTAACAATGGAGAACTTTCATCTTAGGTCACCTCTGCATGGGAATGTTTGTGCTGATGTTAATTCTTTTAAACACAGATGCAAAGTGATACGTTCAGCAGCAGTGTGTGTGTGTGTGTGTGTGTGTGTGTGTGTGTGTGTGTCATGTGTTTATGAAGATTAATGGTGTTGGGGGGATATCCCCTATCCATCCATCTTGCCCAGAGTAAGTGGCAGGTGCAGGCGCTGGTGCATGAATAAATGCCCCTTGATGATTTCTCCTGAGGTTTTAAACGCTCGGGGGAGGAAAAAAAACCCTGAAGGGGTGTAAGCACCCCACCTCCCCCTCCTCATCCCACCCACCTGAAATAGTTGTTCTCATGTGTCAGGTCACACTTATAGAAATTGTATTTGATGTGCACTTTATATTTAAGCAACCACAGTGAAGCAGTTCTAATTTTAGGTTTTCTTCCTTTATCTCTGATTTATGGCCCGCCACCTCACAACGTAGCTGATGGATTTAGATTAAAAATGCACCCTTTGTAAATAATGTTATGGATTGTAATTTCCCAAGAGAGCCAAGTGCATATATGCTATCCTATTTGCCATTGTGAAAACCCTTTGCTGTCTTACGCAAATACTGTGATTAAATCGCTGAGAAATTCCAGAGAAAGAGAGAGACACACACACACACATACAGAGCAGGAGAGGCTTGGAAGCTTTGTGTCCAGATGATTAATACTTATTTAATCCTGGTTTGTATTGTTAAGGCCTATTTTTAACCATTGCGATAATTTAGATGAGCACCATGTGTCTTCCTGAACAGGACCCCCCCCCCTTCCCTGTCTCTTTCTATGTGTGTGTCCTCTTGGAGACAGTCAGGGGTCTTTTGGCACAGCCGGTATGTACAACACACAATAAACACAAGTAGTGCTTCTGCTCTGCTTTACTGCTCAGGCAGATAGTCGCAGTTAGAACGGGACTGGGACAGCCATAACGGGAGTGGAAACTGCCTGCTACGTCCGTTTCTGTCTCGGTGGCCAGGCGACACAAATGTGGCTGCGATTAGGGACTATAATGATATCCGGATGGAGAGTGGAGCGTGCAGGCTTAGAGAGGGAGGTGGGGGGTGTCTGCGCCTGCATATGGTTGATCTGTGAGGCTGGGAGGGAAAGGCCTGAGCGGTCACTTGCACTGTAGATGACTGTCCTCATGTCCTGTTGATAAGAGGCCCCCCCAGTGTCACAATACCACCAGCATGTGATCCACCCTTGTAAGAGTTGCTACAAAGTAAAGGGATTATGTCTGAATAGAGCAGGAGGCAAAGGCCTGTCACAGGGAAAGAGGTGCTTTTCAGTGAACGTGAGGAATTTAATAATCTCTTCTACATCCTGAATATGTGAGTCTCAAGTGGACAAGGGGTATGGACGTGAAGAAAAATAGGCACACCAGGAGAGATCCAATCAATGATCCAGACTTGACATTTTGGGAGAAATGCTTAAGTCGTTTTCTTGCCAAGAGTTAGATGAGAAGACTGATACCACTCACGCCGCTAATTATGAAGCTACAAACAGCAGCTAGCTTACGTAGTTGAAGACTGGAAACATCTAGCTTGGCTCTGTCCAATAAAAAAAAAATCCCCCTACCAACATCTATAAAGCTCACGAAAACTTTCGATCTTGGTTAGTCTGTTCAAAAAAGTGCAAAAATGTCAAATTGCCGTTTTGCAGGGAGTTATGTGCGGAGTATTTCTTCTATCTGACCATTTATTCCAGCCAAAATATAATCTGGCACATAACTCCTAATAGAACGGCCATCTGTCATTTTGACACCTTGGTTTTTGTACAGATTAAGCAAACAAGAGTTTTAATTAGTGAGCTTTAGAATAAGCAGCATTTCCCACACATGGACTTTACTTGGGTGGGCTGCCTGGGTATATTAATCGCCACCTAAGCATATCTGGGGACTAGTTTTAGCATTTTTTATTTTTATGTTTTTATCCGTCCGAGAGAACGATGCCATCAGTGATCACGTCATAAACAACAAGCCTCCCCACACACGCAGCTCACCTGCTGTTATAAAAGTCATCGTGGGTGTAGTTATTGGCCGACTTTATAAACCTAGTGCAGATGAAAAGAAAGTCAACAGACAAAAAGGGAAAAACAGAAAGAGGTGTTGCAGACCAAGCTGGTGTGTGTGTGTGTGTGTGTTTGTAAGAGATAGAGACATGTGTCTGTGTATGTCTGTGTGAAAAAGGGAAAAGCAAGATGAGCAAATTAAAGTAGTTTCTGAGTAAACCCTAAAATAAGGTGTTTTAAGAATTACAATGGTGAAACGAGAGGTAAGAGGTAATAGAAATAGGGTAATATATTTTCCCCGCCACAGTCAAGTACACTGTCAATCTGTTGGAAAAACTGATAAGCATTTTCAAAAATAACAAACCTTTCCTTTAAAGGGTACTCCAATGATTTAGTACTGCAGTGCCAAAAAGTTGTAGGATTTGTGAGAGGCAGATTAAAAACATGAAAGCAAAAATCAAAGCAGCACAGGCTGAGTATACTATAGTTCCTTTACTTCCTGCCTGGGAAACACTTCCAAACTCCAGGGCCCAAGTTTGTGAAAGACTTTCCGTCTTACATTAGTCTCTTCTGCTGCATTCATGTCATCGTTTAGACTATAATTACTAGCTAAGTGGTAAAGAAATGTTCATGCCAACATCAGACTTGCAATTCTGAGTTGTAGATATCATACATTTCTGACAGGTACAATATCTCCCCCTTATTTTATTATATAATAAACTGAATTATCTTTTTCTATGTGTGTAGAAAAAAAAGGATTTAACAAACCAGTGGCAAAATGGCTGAAAAGCTGCTACCAGCTACACTATTAATGAACTACAAATACATACAAATATACATACACAAATACAGAAAAACTAGCTGAATAAAAAGTTAGCAGGACCTGTAAACATCCCAAATCTGAATTACAGGAGGTTCTCCCATTGTTTCCATTCTGCCGACACTGTTTGAATGCTGCATAAGGTCAAACTGAGATAACCCTTATGACATCATTATGACATCATCGAGAGTTATTTTCTCAGACTTGACAAATCCCCTCCTTTGCCATAGACAATCCTGTACACCTTTAGACAGGCTAAGCTGTGAGCAGATGAGTAAACTTTGTGTTAAATTGGTGGAGTACCCCTTTAACTTATCATTATCAATACTGCGTTGGTTTAATGCCTGCAGGTACATCGGAGCACTGGGTGCCCGGGTGATCTGTGACAACATTCCCGGCCTGGTGAACAAGCAGCGGCAGCTGTGCCAGCACCACCCGGACCTGATGCAGTCTATCGGTGAGGGAGCCAAAGAGTGGATCAGAGAGTGCCAGCACCAGTTCAGACACCACCGCTGGAACTGCAGCACGCTGGACCGAGACCACACCGTGTTTGGCCGGGTGATGCTGAGAAGTGAGTGTGCACATGCATGACTGGGATTTCTATCTGTGTGGTTCTCCGTGTGTGCGTGACAGTGGTTGTTTATGTCAGTGACACTCGAGTTAATCATCCTCGTAAATGTCTCTGCTGTTACCAGATAAGCAGAGAATTAATAGGTTTCTTTTTTAATCAACCTTAGAATACAAACAAAAAGAGAAAGTGTTGAGTTTTTTTTTTTTTTACCTTTCTCTGGAATGAGGGAAGATTGGGAAAGTGGATTTTCTCCGAAAACAAGTAGCAGATCACCACACTGGTGATGTATAAACAGTAATAGGAGATGTAAATATTTGGGTAGATGTTTCTGGCAGCCAGACAAAGCTTTACTCCCTGACATATCGCCTGTGTTCTGCTTCATTGCGTGAGCAGGAATGAGGACAGGAGGTGGGTGGGAAAGCCAGACCAAATAACCCCCAAAATCTCCTCTTGCCTGAAATGAAAACACAGCCCAGTGACGGAGAAAGCTGCCATCTGCGCAAATTAAAAGGTGAAAGGAGAGTCGGCTGGACTGTGATGTTATAGCTGACATGCTGCTACCTCTGTCTGGACCATCCACCATAAATGGACTGATTTCCCTGCTCCTGCTGTCTGGAATATATTGGAGATAGGCTGCTTTACTGAGCAGTAACACAGTGAACCTGGGCACTAAAAGAACAGCTTGAATCTTACCAAAGAAAGCAACAAAACCAGTGTGGTTTCCAACGACATTTACAACACTGTGATTTATCCAATAAAAGTACCCGTGAAAAAGTAGTAAAAATAATAAATAATACATTATTCTCTGATGGATTTCATTGCAACGCCTCTCTTTTTTTTGCACACCCAGGCAGCCGAGAAGCAGCGTTTGTGTACGCCATCTCTTCAGCAGGAGTGGTCTACGCCATCACCAGGGCCTGCAGTCAGGGGGAGCTGAAGAGCTGCAACTGCGACGGCGACAAGCGCGGACGAGCTAGAGACAACAGGGGCAATTTCGACTGGGGTGGATGTAGTGACAACATCAATTACGGCATCAAATTTGCAATGTCCTTCGTAGATGCTCGAGAGAAGAAAGTGAAAGATGCTCGCGCCCTGATGAACCTGCACAACAACCGGTGCGGTCGGATGGTGAGCAGCTTTGATGTTAACAGCTTAACTCTCAGCAACTATTATTTTCATGATTGATTAATCTGGAAATTGTTTGGTCTATAAAATATAGATATATAAAATGATCATTTCCGTCTTGTTTTGTCTGTCTGTCTAAAATTCAAATATGTTCAGTTTACACTAATGTTAAAACAAGGAAAAAGCAGCAAAATGTCACATTTGAGAAGCTGGAACCATAGTATTTTTGACATTTTGCCTTAAAAAAATGCTTAAATGTTTAATCGATTCTCCAAATAATTGCTGATTAGATTTCGATTTACTGATTAATTAATCAAATTATCGTGGCTCCAATCTCAACTGAATTTCCAGAAGATTCACTATTTCACAACATATAGCAATATTAATATTGCAATATAAAAGTAAATATACTATGACATATTTTATCCATGTAGACCAAACACCTCAAGTGTCCAACAGTTAGGGATTAGTTAGTTAGTTAGTAGTAGTTTCTGGAAAGGTAAAGGAAGAGTAAAATATCCTTCTAGGTTCTAAAAAGTCTCCTGACCGCACACATTATCAATTTGCTTTTTTCAGTACATTTAGTTTTAGGGTCAATACCAACATGCTGGGTTCTTTCAAGAAGTCTCTGGAGGAAAAGAACGATAAAGTTAAATCCAGTCAGAGTGAAGAATATTTGGCTAACACCTGTGCTAGGAGGGCTGATCACACCTACATCATGCCACGGGCAACTTCATAGGCTTAACACCCTGTCACCTTTGACCTCTGCTCTAGGCAGTGAAGCGCTTTATGAAGCTGGAGTGCAAGTGTCACGGGGTCAGTGGCTCCTGTTCTCTGAGAACCTGCTGGCTGGCTATGTCTGACTTCAGGCGAACTGGAGACTACCTTCGCAAGAAGTACAACAGAGCCATCGAGGTGACCATGAACCAGGACGGGACGGGCTTTATGGTGGCCGATAAGGACTTCAAGGGAAGCACCAAGAATGAGTTAGTGTACATCGAGAACTCGCCAGACTACTGCCTCATGGACCGCACAGCCGGTGAGTGAATGAATGAAGAATTAGGTTTTTGTCACAGAAGTATAATTATGTCTTTAAAAAAGGGGGAAAAAATAAGGAGCTCCTTTCAAATAGTGGAAATTCTGGCTCTTTTTCACTTTTGTATCATTATTATTTTTTTAAAGGGTTCGTTCACCCAAATAATGCACACAAAACATTCGTACGCACCTCTTGCTTATGCTAAAGTTCTGAGGTGTTTAAAACTCCAATAACTGTATCTGCCCATATTCATTTTGTTACATAAACACATAACATAAAGAAACATTGTTGGATTAGGAACCGTTTGTTTTGTAAGAATTGTGATCAAAATATAGAACTTGTCAGTGCTGTAAGTATGGAATGACATCACTATTTCCACATTACATTTTTAGTTTTGTGGTTTTCCTGTTTCCTACATGGCATGTGCACTTAAACCAATACCACCAAATATTTACTGTTTGGGCTTGAGTTTTCCAGCACAAACACAGCTCACCAATAATTTCAAGTGTCACATTGTTAGTGATACTGCCAAATATTTATTGTTCGGGCTCTACTTTTTAACAATAAACCAATATCACCAAATATTTATTGCTCAGGCTTTACTTTTGAGTTTTCCACCACAAGTCTGCCACAACCCAAATACACAAGTTGTCAGCATTTGTTTTGTTCCCCTTTAAGCACCAAAAAATATCTGATAAACTAAATGACTGCCTCTCTTAACCAACATGACATGGCTCACCTGGTAGAGCTTGTGAGGAAAGATCCTCCACTCAAGAACAAGTGCGAGTGGACAGAGCTTCTCAAGCAGTGATACACCTTTTCTAGTTTAATGAACTATCTGGTCACGTCACATCAATTTCAGGAGTCACATTTTCCAACTTTCATTCATAATTTAATAATTCAAGCTTATCAACTTTTGATACAAGTTTTGAATGATTTAATCAGGGCTTGAATTAGGAAGATTGCTACAGCTGTTTCTTCAATGTGTCAGATACAATCGGAATGTAGGTAAATAAAAGCATTGGATTAGACCCGTTACTGACATTGACAAGTCAAACAGGTGGTTGGCCTTGTTTACGTTATACAAAATCTCTGACACTCAACAGCTGAAGACTTGCATTCACTGATTTGACCTTTAACATCTTCTTTAATTCCTAGTGTTTGCGTTGCCTTGTTAAGCTCTGTCCCTCTTCTCCAATCCAGCCCCTTCAATAGAGTGTTAAGTAGTTTTAACTAACTCACTATTAATAGGTTAGGTAAGATAGCATAGTGCCGATGTGCAGGGGACATGATGGTTAGAATTGATCCTCCTCCCCTGCTGTTAGCTTGGTTGCACTACTGAGGGGTAATGAAGGTGTGTTCACTCAAAGGAAAGGCTGTCGTTTCTTGTTAAAAGGTGATCTTAAAATAAGCTTATGACCCTCCTTGCCACTAATCTCCATTGTATAGGAATTCACAGCCTAAGGGTACATGCTGGCTTATTTTTCAAAACCTTCCTTTGGTCAGTATTAAGCTCCACTCCCTAGAGCCCGAGGGGAATATCTCCTCTTATCCTTTTCTCTTCACTTCAGAGATGCTCTGTTATTAGACGTGGCATCTGATCTTAGGCCTAGATTTCACACCTGAGTACATGGACACCTTTGTGGTTGGTTTGAGACTATTCTGTCAGCGCATCTGGAAGCCAATACCCAGTTGAAGAGTGTGGGAAAAGTGATATTTCGCTTTGGAAAAATAGTTTCAGTTTTCAGCATCAAAATATCCAATGGTGTTCAGAGGTGGTCATATGCCAACATTAGCGGTTCTGGACTTTCTTAACAGTATGTCATCACTGGAGGTTTTCCAAAATGGAATTAGGCTGAGCAGCTGATACGTGACTGAGACAACCAGTAACCAATACTAAAAAACAAAGTGACTATAGAGTTACTGTATGTGCAATAGAAAAGATACACATCGTTCCCACGTTAAAAAAAGGTACAAAGTGAGTTCTAAAACTTACCGATGTTTTTATGTCATCGTTGGATCAAATAACTCTGTGTAACATCAAAAGGGTCACTTGTAGTGAAGAACCCACATAGAATGATCACCCAACCTCGCTGTCCCCCTCTGCTGCAGGGTTCCTTTTTGAGGCTAATAAATTAGATGGTGTCAAAGTACTCGCCAATACCCGATACCTGCATTTTAGGTAGTATTGGAGAAATTTCCAATACTGGTATTGTATCAGGATAAACTATTCTGCAGACTCAGCTATCAATAACTGTACTTTTAACAGAAGCATGCCTCTGTTTTTAGCTGCAAAGCTCAGATAAATCAACTGTGCAGTATCTGCCCAGCACCAGACAGCAGACAAGACAAAGTTACCGACAAACTAATCAACATTTAGCAGCTAAAGGGCCAGTTATTTCCCTCAGGAGTTGGTGGGGACCAATACAGAGTTAAAATGAGAGTTTATATCGGACATTCATCAGATGGGAAAAAAGACAACTTCAAATGAATGCTACTGTTGTTTCTGGTCTGCTGGATGTGTAAATAAGAAAATGTTTGCTAATTCATTTGCTATATGAACCTAATATTATGTCAATATTGTGTTTACAACTTGAATGAAAGAATAAAAAGGACAAAGAGATGACATTAGAAACTTTTTGTTCCTGTTGGAGGAAAGTTATTTGTATGCTATCCTACTAAATTTAAATTTTTGCAACAATATTTTTTATTCTTTAACAAACTACAAAAATGCCCTAACACTGACTTTATTCTATATATTATATATTTATTTAGGTGTTAGGTATTTATGGATTTGTTTTTGGGGGGTTATGATTAGGTTAAATTGTTTGTTAAGGTGTGGCTAAGTTTTTATAAAAACTTGAGTGCAGGGTTAACATTGTAATCATGGTTTGTCTTATGAAACGTTCTTTAAAAATTATTAATAAATAAAAAAATATAAATAAAACATTTATTTTTTATGTCACGTCATTTTTTTTCTATTGATGCTAGAAAAAAAAACACAATTTCCTCTGTAACACAAATATATTGCTTTCTTCACAGGCTCCTTGGGCACAGCAGGCAGAGTGTGCAACAAGTCCTCTAGAGGCACAGACGGCTGTGAGGTCATGTGCTGTGGGCGGGGCTACGACACCATGCGTGTCAAGCGTGTCACCAAGTGTGAGTGCAAGTTCAAGTGGTGCTGCGCTGTGGAGTGCAATCACTGTGAGGACATGGTGGATGTTAACACCTGCAAGCCCCACAAGCGACCTGATTGGTTGGACACAACCTAACGAGGAGACCTGTCCAATGACAGTCGCCACTGACTCATTAACCTGTGCGCTAACGACTGCATTTTATTATGGGATATATAATTGGGATCTCTTAACTGTAATACCTCTGGCTTTTGATCCATTGACGCTTCCTGAAGCAGATACTTCACGGACCTTGATGCTAAACTGGAAAATAGACCCAGTTACTGATCATGTGCTGCTTTAATAAGTGTCTCTAAGAACAATTTGTTGAGCTTTCTGAAGACAAACTCTGGATCTTTGATACAAAATGGCTGAATATTATATTATTCTGTTGTACATGCAATGTCTGCTTGTTTTACAGTGTGTAAAGACTGTGTGAGCACATGACATAGCTCAAATTGATGATCATAATAATAGTAACATGTAGTCTGAAGAGAGAGATAAAGAAAGAAATAAGGATAGATCTTTGGAGGTATTGTAAAAACACTGACATTGTATCATTTAAAATGATTAAGCCATTGTACGGTACTGCAACAAATCATATAAAATACAAAAGACAGTTGCTGCTAATTAGTGCAACTCTAACGAACTAACAGAACGTAGGAGGGAGCTTATGAAAAAGTTCCTACTCGAACAAGGCCAGACAATCACACTGTGAACGCAAATGAACCACAAACAGGAGAACAAGCAAGGACTTTAAATTAAAGTGACAGCATACCTGCTGCAGAGCTGAATTTTGGCCAGTTCTTGGGACAAAAAGGACACACTAACAGGAAAAATTAAGCTTCATATGGACTTTGGACTGTTATCTGAAAGAGCTCGATTTTTCATACAGTGTCCCACATGTTTGACTGTCTGTAACTGGTCTAACACATTCTGGCTGTGTTGCCTTATGGAAAACTTTATAATTTCTACCTCTGGTTCTTTGTCTCCAGTTTTTATTTTATTTTATTTTTTTCAGTGTTACACTGACAGCTTCAAACAATTGCCCTTTGCCATGTTTGGACAGACAAACCTGCTGCGTAAGAAAACAAAGCCCCCTCATTCATTTCAATTATGTTACTGCAAGAAAAAAATGTAGCTTGTCCAGTTAAAATGTTGAATCTGATTCAACCTTTGCTGCAACAAAATGCCGTTTTTCAACAGGGCAAGGTGTTGGCTGAAATTCTACAGTTTACCTGACGATCATCATGAAGAGGATAAAATTATTTTTGATGTGATGGCTTTCCAAAGTTGTCAAATCTGGTTACATAGTCTTACACACTGCTGTGCAGTGATTTGGTGTCTGATACAAATTCATAGATTTATTATTTAAAACTTCCAGGATCGTGTCATCTATACCTTGAACAACATGTCCGCACTGACGCAGCTCCAACGTGGCTGTTTTCCATCCGAACACCTGTTTAGCCATCGTGCCTGCAGCCTTTGTTGTTTGCCAAGATTTATTTAAAGTTTCTCTTGGTCATAGTTGCTTCTTAATTTCATCCACTCCTCGTGCCTCTTGTTTGATGGCAGTAAACTCTTGAAATCCATGGAAATGTTTATATAAATCTTACAATACTTACAATACTATCAGATGTTTCATTTTGTGTCTGTAAAAACCCTTTCCTGCACCCTGCATTGACACGGTTCTAAATTTAAGTTAGCTTGTAAAGCTACGGTTAAATCCTAACGAGACACATTTAATTTTTTTTAAAGATTTTAAGTAAGTATTGGACGCAGCGTTTCCCCTTGGATCACTGTCCAGGTGTTTGATGCTCACGCAGATGTGTTCGGTTTTCCCTGGGTGCTGCTGAGTCTCTGAAATGAAACTTTACTGAAAAAACATTGTGTTCAGTTGTGATGGAGCTCACTTTTGATTAGCCTCACCTTCATTACTGCCAGCTTTAACAAACACCACTGCTCTGTGTCACTGACAGACGCTGATAACTAAAGCTGAACAGCAAGACGTGTACTGTGAGCTGAAGACCCTAATTATACAAGATATTAGAAAGCTCAAATCTGCATGAGGTCCTGTCGCCATTTTCAAACCAGCTGTTATTATACACACACTGTCTCCAATGTATGCTTCTCAGGGGTGGGTTGTATCTTGATGTTGTAATTTCTTCTCACTGCTTGGTCTCCATTGCAAAGCAGAGCATGTTTCTTCTGTCATCGTATTGTGACAGAACACTTTTACAACACTATCTTAAGCAACTATGCTTCCAGTCCTTTGTGCACATATTCACTGGCTCCGACTGTTTTTTTAAGAAGTGAAGTATTTAATGAAACCGAGCCAAGACATTGCAGAAAGAGCAGTGAAGTAGCTGCGGACTCTGAATTTGACTTTTCAACATCTGGTACTGCAACCATCATCTTAGGCCATTGGAGACACAACCCTCAGAGGGGTTTATAGATCTAAATGAATCTGACAACAAGCTGTGGATGCTGAGAGTCAACACATTTTTTCAAGTCCACGTAATGAGGAGGGGAGCCAAAGTAAAGTGCTTTGAACAAGGCCAAATGACACACCATGTCAAACGTTCACAAGTCAAAAGTTAATTGCAAACAAAAGAGGCTGTTTTGAATGTAAATTAAGAGTATGTTGGCTGTGTTTTTCTTTAAGATTAGAAAGGTGAGAGCTGTTCACACACGGTGGGGGGCGACCTGGGCCTGTGCTGCTCTGGCCCTCAAAAATTCATATTTCAATTCCCCAGTTGGACTGAGAGTAATAAAGCACAATGCTGATGCTTTCAGTCCGTTATGAAATGGATCATTTTATGCCTAAATCCACATTGAAAACCACGGGGCATGCACTGATCTGTGCTGGATGTGGATTGGTTGAGGGTGAGTGTCATAGTTACATGAATTCATTTGGGTCTATTCACAACTCCAACATAGCATTAAAGATTTACTGTAGTTTCATTTCACCCAATAAAAAATAAATAAATTGTATCCATTACTGCCATGAATTTTTCACTGTTCAGTTAAGGCCAATGCCACATTGTTATGTCAAATTCAATGTTTTCCTCAGTCAGCATTTGGTGCACCAGTGTGTTAGTTTTTATTACTGTCTAGGGAGGTATTTGCACCTTTGAAATGCAGATCCCAAAATACCTTACTGGCTTCTATATTAAACCTTGCTGATCCACCCTCTGTCACTCCTATTAGAGGTCTTCCGTTCTCCTCCAGCTTATATGGTCTCCTGTGTTTTAACCCTGATTCAGTTATGGCAAGGAGAGGATAAAGATAATGCAATCAACCGCGATGGTGTTTTAAAGTTCAGTCAGTTCAGTGTCAGGTAATCCTGAGCATATTTTCCAGAAAGAGACTGGCAGTCTGGCTTAGATATACAGCTACATCACCGAATATCTCTGAACTTTAAATACACCATTATATTTAAGGCATCCTAATACCAGGCATACTCTTGACAAAGTAAATTGCCAAGCAATTAGCTAAGCCTTACACACAGAGAGTAGATTAATAATACTTTGTTGATCTTTAAATCTGTCATAGTATCCGTGGCGCTTTGTCCCCCACAATGTGTGATCCAGTTGAACTCTGTAAAAATAACAGGAGTGGCATTGCAGGCATTCTCTGCCATCATAGTGATATCAAATGGGCACCTCAATTTAACAACATTTCAGTGCTAAAATTGGCCCCAGGGAGAGACTAACAGTGTGGTCCACATGGATGTTTCACATTCAGGGAAACCAGAGAAATGTTGTAATCCATGCTTACAAATCTTACGAGTCAAAAGCAATTTTGTGTTGTGTCAATTTCATAAGTAAACATGTTTCTCTTTGAACTTGTCTGACTAGTCCTCCAGTCCAAAACACTTTACTCCACCTATCGTATGATTAATATCTATGATGTACAGCGATATATTGATATGTATACATTGTGAAATTGTTCTCTAGACTATTTAGGAAGAGTGTTGAAAATGTTTGGCAAAATGTCTCAGTTTCACTGTTTTTCTTGGAAGAGAAGCTGGCCCTTATGACCCCATCAGCAGTAATTAAGAGTTTATTTGGACATGAAATTGGACTTGACTATAGCTGCTATAGTATAGTATATTTACTGTCCTGCCAAGTGACATCATACCCATTTGTTACTGGAAGAAAAATCACACTATAAATTTCACATACATGTTTCTATAGCATTGACAAAGGAAAATACTCCCACAAACTAAAGATTATACAGTGAAAATTCGCTTTTTTACAGCCAAATTGTGGGCATCTAACTGGCCGCTTATATTCTCAGTGACACACAATAAATAAGAATACTGGGGTTCAGTCACATACAGTGGATTTATTGTGTGAATGTACACAACTGATATTTGGCCATTATGTGAAATCTGTTTTATGAAGGCCACAACCACCCGCTACAGTGTGGCAACTCTCCTGACCACAGACCACAAATGGAAAACACCAGCTTGTGAACTGAGATGAATAAATCCACCAACAACCAAGCAAAGCAGCACATTAAGACAAGCAAGACTCTACCTATGCAGCAGATGAACCTACGCATATTAAACTGACAAAACAAACAAAAAAAATGGCTTGAGCACACAATGCCCTCTTATGAAATGTTATACACACCGACAAGCAACAGAAAACAATCAGTACATGGATTTAATGGTAATGTTGTTGTAGTGTAGTGGAAGCGACAGCACAGGAGCTCAGCAGGTTAGCTGTAAGACTATTAAATACAGTAAAGCAAGCTGTCAGAATAAAAGCATCATAACAACAACCGAATGGTGGACCCAAAGGCAGATGAAAGCAGCTTCAAAGCAGAAATTTAGCAAAAAGACACTGTTAATAAGCAAGCAGGGGAAGCAAGGACAGCCATTAATATTAACTGATACCAAACACAGAAAAAGAAGAGAAACAAAACAGCCAAACACAGCCAAGATAGCATTAATCATTAGCATGTTAGCAAGGGCAGCACAGCTCTTACCTTGGTGAAGCGAAGTCAGCAAAGTACAAAATCTCTGGGAAGAGTTGCCATTACGTTACATAGCTGACACGAAACCATGACAGGAAAACAGCTTTGGGTTTAAAATGGCGTTTCATAAATGGAGTATAAGTGGAGGAGAAGCAGCAGACAGGACAGGCTAACTTTGCTAGCTTACTACTCCTTAAAACAGGACTTGACTGTTAGCCATTGACAGTATGCTGTTAGTTAGTAGGTAAGCTTTGCTACATTAGCAGCAGTAACCATTTAAATAACCCGCCCTGTCGGGGTGCGTTAGATTTATGTACCAGCTGGTAGAATATGTGTCACTTGACTTGTTTGGCTTCAGGTGGATGGCTTCATAAATTGTGTCATGCCATCTTAAAGGTCCAGTGTTTTTCCTTTAGGAGGATGTATTGGCAGAAATAAAATAGAATATTCATAGGTTGTTTTTTCATTAGTATATAATCACATGAAAATAAGAATCATGTTTTTGTTACCTTAGAACGATCAGTTTTTGTCCTCTTCAATGAAGGCTGCCACGTTGAACCGCCATGTGTCTACAGTTACCAGAAACGGCCTTTCAGGTTTTTCTTTGTCACTGTAGTTTCTCCTACACGTATAGAAGGTGTATTCAAATTGTTGCAATCTGCAACTTCAACACTAGATGCCACTAAATCCTATACTCTGATTCTTTAAGTGTGTGTTGCTGTTTGGTTTTGATTACTTTCTTTTTTACATCCTGGATACACCAACACCACTGATTTATAAGCTTAATTTTTAACACAGTTATCACTGGGTGTCATCAGGTTAAACCCAACTACACTACTCAAAGAAATGAATTAATAATATTAAAATGGTATGGCCAAAATAAAATAAATAAAAGTGCATTGAGACCAAGAAATAATTAAACATATCACCACAAAAGTTCTCTAATTACTTCTACGTCTAGTTTTTATACATTCCCAGCAAAGATGTGGCATACTCCTGATGATCTACCAACTTTAACCAAGGAAAAGGAGGATGTCCTCTGCCTCTAACACACCTGGATAGCATGCCCCATACAGGAGACCTGACTGGCCAATCCATCACAGAGATACCTTCATTCTGTCTCACATTGTCTCATATTGAAAACATATTTCAGATTTCTTGGAAGGATCAGTTGAAACAGACCCATAGACAGACATAACACACTTACGGAACAGTATGTTCTTTTGATACCAGAGGCAGATTTTTATTATTTCATTCTGTGTGACCTTCAGGGACCCACTTGGCAAAGATCCCAGGCCACAAGAGTTCATTAATTCATGGTGCTGGTTAGCTTACTGGGCTGGCAGCAGGGTATTAACACAAAAAAACCTCTTGCACTGGAGATTTTAAGGGTTATTGTCTGTGTGGGATATGATTTGCCACCTACGTAGTTTTCCCACACAAGTATATGCCCCAAATCATCATTTTATTTTTTTATTTTTATTACTAACCCTACTCGTTATGGCCATAAATGCTGTATATGTCTCTAACATCTCTTCTCAAAAAGGGCATGAGGAGATAAAAGGAAACTCCAATATACTGTGTTGTACTGTTTTTGTATTCTTTCTTTTTTGCTCTGCTGTTACCCTGACTTTGATCTGCCACAGAGGTCAATGAGCAATTCATGTTTCAACATGCAGCATGAAACTGCGCTCTGGCACTGAGAGCAAACACTTGAGCACCCGTCAACAGTCCTTGACAGCGATTTTCATTACTGCTGCTCGCCACTTAAGCATGAGTGTATGGAGTATGATTATGGCACCAATGGTTCACTGGGAACATGCCACATAAAAGCATCTGCTGATGGTGGTGGAGTGGCGTTATCACAAAGACGGCCATGTATATTCTCTTTGGCTTTATATAGAGCAGCAGCGGGGCGGCAGAGTGAGTCGTTTGTCCTTGAACAAGATACCAACTCCCCGTCAATTCAGAAGTGATTTTAAAAGATGAACGGAAATGACATCCACCATAGAAAAGTAAAGTATTTAAATGTCTCCCACTTTATGTTGAAAAAAAGTTTGCTTTGGAAATTACCTGTCTATCCATGCCTGTAGAAATTGTTTTTTAAATTCCCAGTTTGGGGTTTGTTAAGTTTTCAGTATCTACACATTAAAAAACAATAAAACTGAGGTAACCTTACGAAGCAGCTGCACTCCCGAGATCAGGTTAACGTCACTCTTGTCAAGCTTTAAGCATGATGCATCCCACTAAGTCTATCTGCGGCTTGCACAGTACAACAGCACACACCTACTACATGATAAACTCTCTAAACGGTCACAGTTTGGTTAGGTTTAGGGACCTTAAGTTTAGGAAAAGAAAATGGTTCAGGTAAAAATAAGTACATAAATCCAGGAAGTTATCTCAGGAGGCATGTCGTGAAGTCTGTGAGACTGCAGATAGACCCTTCTCGACCAATCAGCGTCCTATGAGGAACTACTGGTAGCTAAGAGCTACTGTTTGTTTAAAGATAACAATGGCGGCTCCATATGCGGCGTGGATGCTGCTATGGCACGGTGTTTTCACTCTTCTGCTAACTGGCTTCCTTGATCTGACTGGTTGAGGTTCACCCATGATAGACAGTATTTTTTGAAAGTGTTTGAAGGATGACTTCCCAAATGATTATGTGTAACAAACCACGTTGCATGTCAAGAGAAAACTGAGGACTTCCAGAACAAAACATCAAATAAAAATATCACAGCAGGTAATTGCACTGAAAGAGTAATTTATTGTGAGTTTTGCTTTCAAACTCATTCAAGGGTATTTACTGTTCAAAACATTCTCCTGTCTTCAGCATACTCTTACATTTCAGCTGCACACTATAAAATTAAGACATTTCAAGTGTCAAATTTAAACAGACAAATGTTACAGGCCAGAGTGAAATGCGAAACAGAATCTGTGTAGTTTAGAGTAGATCAGGGTTATTGAAAATATATTCCAAACTTGCAACATATTGTAATAACACACACATTTATGTGCCAATGCATCAGAGCCAACTTGCCATTTTCTACTTTTTGCGTTTGCCACTGTTACTTGCCTGCTTTATGTCGTAATGCTAATCACTGGGAAATCAACAGTCCTGTTACAAATTACAATGTTAGATGGCATCCATTTATCAAATGTAATCCATCAAAATTGAACAGAGTTACCACTATACTTGACATCAATATTGTAGGCACAGCTAATGCCGAATTGGTGTGTTTAACTATTGTGATGTGAAAGGCACTTTAATATCACTTTTTATACGTGTGGAGTGAAGAGTTGTCAGTATAATGTCACTTAAAGTACATCCTGGGGCAAGAACTCTACATTGTTGTATCCAACAATAATGTAATAACTATCAAGTAACAAAAACTTGACAAAGTATAGTAAACATGTCTGCCTTAAGTGGTTTTAAAATGTAATAAACCTGTTAATGTAATAAAAACTCAGGATGATGTGGCATTATATTATCATCGCCCAGGACTAAGATGTTTAACACTTCATTCCATTTTTCATTAATAATGGAAATATATAATACATTTACAGGCTTTATTACATTATCAACCGGTTTTTACATTATACTTCACAGCAAGGTAATGCTGAGTGTGTAAACCTTTCAGAGGGAAAACAAAGAAGGTCCATGTACCATTTCTGGCAAAATTAGCAGACAATCAAAGGCAGAGCAAGAGATTGTGTACATACAAAGTAAAACAATTCTCTTACTTTTGCATCTCTGCATGTCTGTTAATTTTACCCCCATCTCCAAACGCTTCTCTGAGGGCTCATCAGGATCACTCATCAAAGAACTTTAATACTGTGTATTCAGAACTACTGTAATCCAGTGTATTATAACTGTAGTTACATTGTCTGTGCCAGTTCACTCTCAATACTACTACTACAATGTGTGCCTCTTTAGTTTTTGTTTGCTGACTAGAGAAGCTGACTTATACACTGAATTATAACATTCTGTAGTGCAATCAGCACATATGAGTTATGCCATGGGAGGCCTAACTGCGACCAGTAATGATCCCATTTACATTTCGATGTTGCGGGGTTGGTGGTTGCCCCAGTGATATAGTGCTGAGGTGTCATGCCATGGTAACAACTGTTGAACTGCAGAGGCGTTGTATACACTGCAGGCACTTCGAGGCTGTAAATCACAGCTCTGTTTTTAGGAGGCCTTCCAGACTTTAAAATCTGCCCCACTGGATGTCTGCAGGGTACTGAGGTTTGATATAGGTTTCCCATCGCAAATACCTGACGGGATCTTTTTGATACACATAAATAATTGGCAAGGGAAAGAGGAGGAATAGGAATCATATTGGTCAATATATTCTACAACAGACATTTATCATGTACAAGTTCTTTCAGTTTCTTATCAAAAACACACCGACTCAAACAAACTAGACAGTAGTGACAGGAACATTAAAAACATGCAGTTTTAGTTTTTTTTTCGTGACTTAAAGGCCCAGTGTGTAACATTAAGCAGGATCTATTGGCAGAAATTGAATATAATATTCATAGGTATGATCACCTATTAATGTATAAACACCTGAAAATAAGTAATAATAATAATTGTTGTGTTATTGTTACCTCTGAATTAGCGGTTTTTATCTACAGAGGAAGTGGATCCTCTTCCACGCAGGCCATCACGTTGAACTGCCATGGTTCTACAGTAGCCCAGAAGGGAAAAACCAAACGTTGGCTCTAGATAAGGCCTTTTGCATTTTTCTCAGCCACTGTAGTTTCTCCTACACAGTTGGAAGGCTGAGCTGTATTGGAATGTTTGCAGTCACTGCTAGATGTCACTAAATCCTACACACTGGTCCTTTAATGTATTCTTGTGATGGAACAGAGGAGTACCTTTGACAAATTCCTAATTAGATTTTTTGTTCAAGAAAATCCACTTAAAAACCTCAAATTGCCAAGTGCTAGCATAAGGACAAATAAATTACCCTGTGAAACTATTGCAAATGGTATTCACTAAATGTGGTCTTGGAAAAACTCTGGCTGCTGGAACAGTGTGGGAGAGCATCTTAAGTGTGGTACTGCTGTGTTGATACAACCCCCGCCAACATAATCAGTAACAATGCAGCAAGTGGACAGTAATGCTGAAGACAGGAGAGCAAACACTTTTTGTCTGAGGGTTTGGAGTGGTATCGGTGTGTATGTGTGTGTGCGTGTGTGTGTGTGATGGGGTCAGATTCGAGTCAGCTGGTGCCAAAAACTGGACGGCATGAAGCTTTCCATCTTGTCTGCGAAGAAACCCAGGGGTGCAAAGAGTGTGCTGAAGAACTGAAAGGAAGAAAAAGCAGAACGAGCCCTCAGTTGAAGGTCAGTAAAACCTCTCCCCACCTACCCTTAGATAATAATTAAAGCAAAACATTTAAATGAATCCCCAACAGTTTCTTCTTTATATTATTTTCTATTAAGAAACATTAAGAGAAAGCACAAAATCCCACACTGCCCTCCAGCTCATCCTTGTCAAATGGGCAGGCTAACCTGCATGGGAAAAGAAGTTAAACAAATACTTCAATCGCCCAAAAACCTTTGGTTTGATGTTTTTCTAAGGACCTGCATTTGACACCTAAGACAGGTGGGACATTAGTACTGAACCTGTTCAATTCTGTAAAACAGATAAAACAGGCTGCAGCAAGGTTTTTCTCAGGTGACAGGATGCAGTTTTGTGCAAAGCCCAATTTACAGCATGCATTTGAGATACAACAGGGCGGTCCCCAGCTGAACATATTTATCCACGTAATCCAGAAGATTCCTTGAATACAGGGAAGAGAAAGCCAAAGCAGCATTATCATTTTAGTGTTATCATTTTTTACATTTGGTTTGTAGTAACAGCGCTGACAGTTCAATATACTTAAGCGATTTGGGGATAAACTTTATATTATCCATGATTTACATGTCAACACATTTTTATACATCCAATCAATCATGTTCATTCTTTCTGTTTCTCTTTCGGTCTCTAAATAGCGACAAATAAATGAAGGGAAAGGAATTAAACCATTAAACTAAACCTGTTTTTTGGGGGTTTTGTCTGAGACAAATTATTCAAATTGGCAAGCGATACTTCAAAACCCGAATGATCATTAGCCTTTAAAGGATGATGTATGAATTAACAACAAGAGCAAAGACCCTGGTAGTTAAATCATGAAAAATATACTGTATGTGTTTCTGTAGTAATACTATAATATGCCCATCACAGATAATGTATATTTTAATGTTATTTGCATATTAATTTCCCTGAAGGAGGCTCTCAAAGGAGGTGAACGGATGTACTATTCAGCCATAACACATCTCATTAACTTCTGGTCTAAAAAGATCTATCCAATACTGTTAGATTAATGCAGTGGTTCTCAAACCTTTATTATTATTATTATTATAATTATTTCTATTTTCTGCTGTCAGTTATAAAATAAGAGCAATAACAAATTTGTAATTGTCTAACAAAAAAAAAGGAAAAATATTCCTCATACTTAGAACCTAGAAGGAGCAACTAAATCTCTTGTTTTTATGATTACTAGCAGAGCATATACTCACTTAGATCTAAGACTAAGATCTAGGATACAGTATATAGTATATTAGATATGTGTATAACAGAGCATTCAAAATGCACATGTTAGTGATTTAAGTGAGCTGGTAACAGTGAAATGTCTTCTAAAATATTACAGTATGGTTTCTCTCTGAAACTACTTGAGGTGTGCTTGATACACTTGACACTTTAATAGTCTCATAAGTGGACATATCATCCTGGCCAGACAAGTGCAAATCAAGTACTTCTCTAATCCCATTTAATATATGAAACATATCCAACTACTATGCTATACATGTCTGGTAACTATAAATAAAGGAAAGGCAGACTGCCACCACCACCACTACTGTCTTGCCTTGCTTGGATCTTCTGTTCAAGAGTAGCAGATTCAGAGAAATCTGCTTTTCCTCAGAAGGCAGTCAGGACCTCTGTGTTCCTCCCTCAATGCTTTTCATGCACTCCATCTGAACATTACACAAACCAGGCTTGCCAGCGCTGCTGTAAAAATCCTATCTGAGCACAATCTTTCCCATAACAAAAGGAAGAGCACTAGATGTACTCCGTGGCCTTGTTTTTGCTACAAGTCTATGACTCTCTGTAAAGGCAGGCCCTAATAAACAGGATGATCATAAACAAAGGATTAGCCAAAGTAAGGACTTTGCCAAGCTGGCTAAAACCAGATAACACAACACTTCTAGAATAAATAAACAGTAAAAGGAAGTCATGCAGGCATTTTTTAAATCTTCTAAAAAAGTTTCTAAATCTTTAAGGCTGTAGTTATGTCCGCTATGGTGATAAGCTTGCATTATTCAGCTGTGGTCACTGATAGCTTAAGTTGGACAACAGCTTGTTTTGGCGGGAAACGCAGACTTTACTGGCCTACGACTCCCATGAGCCTCTGGTGTTACTGACAGTGATGGAAGGCAGCAATTACCACTGGGGTTAAAAGGTTCAGGTTACAAACAACATGCATTTAAAACATAGATAGAAAAAAGACCCAATCAGAGATTAACTGGAGAAGGAAGCAGTCAGCCAATTTACACATTACTCAGCACTAAACCTGTGTTATGATAAAAGGTATGTCTGAATCAATATATATAAAATTTAAAAACAGCAACCTTTGAGATGAAATTGAGATGTGTAATTATAGAACTTACTGCTTTGGCAAAGACACCCATGAGCTCAGGGAACTGATGTGTGAGCATGGCCAGCATGGCAGTGAAGGAGCAAAGGCCTGCTGTGAAGAGGATGAAGAAGGGAAGCTCTTTCTTTGGGTACACAGACACCTCGTGGAATGCTGGTGCATTCAGAAAGAGAAGTCAGAAAGAGGCAGCAATTCACAAACCAGTGCAGATAAACAAGAAAGAAAAAAACATGGGGATTTAAATAGTGAGAGGATGATTCATTACACAATCAAATTGGGAGCAATCTACATTCATGGACTGCAGGCAGGCTTTGGCTATTGCACTTACAGGGCAGTAGTTCCCTATCTGCTGTTTCTGTGCATCCTGGGTAGGGGTAAAACAGGTGACCCTTTTCCAGAGGGTATGGAATTATCCGGAAGGCTGTAAAGGCAGACAAAGACGCAAATAGCAAAACTTAATAAGATGAATAAGTGTGGCTTAACAGTGAAAAATCATTCTAAACAACACTGCTGGTATTTTAAACAATGGCGTGAAGAGGCAGTTAAAAACCACTGACACAATTTTCAGTAAATCACTTAAGTAGCAGAATATTACAAAGCGTGTGACAAATGAGCGACAAATACTAACATACTTAAAAAAACAGAACAATAACATTCTTCCTGTGCTTCGTGTGAGCACTGATTTCATTCCTGTATAATCACAAGTAGAGTATTTGTGGGTGTGTTGTGCATACATGACCTGACACAACAATTGAAAAATGAAAAGCATCATAAAAGGAAGATACTTTGGGTGTGTGTTGGCCTTGCTATATTAAAGCACTATATAATAGACTTCTAAACATACTTTGGGAGAGGTGTGTTCATTTTCAATAGGACCAAAGGAAAAAGTATGTTTGTTTTTTTTAATATGAAAAGATAACAAATCACTTACATTAAATAAAACATAGTGGTATATAATAGAAAAATGAATAGTGATACATACTGCCCTCCCAGGTGCAATGTAGTAGGTTTAAGGCTCCCTCTGCCCTCTTCCAGTGCTGCAGGTGGAAGAAAGCATATGCAACTGCCTCGCTGTCACCCCTCTTCAAGATGTGCTCTGGAGGTAGGATCAGGCTCTTCATCTCCAATAAGTACTACAGACAGGAGGAGGAAGAAATACCGCTGGTTAGTGTACAGTACAGTAGCTTTATGCTTTTTGGCTCCTGAACATAGCATAAAAAAAATAGCAGAAGTGTTTAGTATAGGTTCACTTTATACTGCTGTCAAAAACAATGATAATGTGTGTACCAACGTCCATTGTGCAAACATTTTTTTTGGTTCTTGCTTCAGTATGGTTCTATATGGTCTATATGGAGTCCCATTGGCTTTTGTCAACACTGCCTCATACATATTGTAACCATAGTCAGGTGCTCACGTCACTTGAAGTCACATAAACCTATGTGTACTGTGAAAATGGCCAAATAGTGAGCAGATTGTTGATAAAACATCTCAGCAACATGGTGGGCCCAGACACAGGTGGGCTCTATATCATGTTCATATGGTAAACAAAAGAGACACATTTTTTCTCACTACAATCAGTGAGTATTTACATTTTTACGTTCAACAAGCGGTAAGAAGGAGGCAACTCAAATGGGATGTTGCTTTGTTTGTGCTGCATGCAAAGTAGACGACTGTTAGCCACAGCCTAATACTGCTAAGGTTTTAGGCCCCCTTGTGGTCAAAAATCAATTCATGCGGCTTTAATGGTCTCATTCACATCGTCTACTCTTTCTCAGTCAGCGCTTCACTTATTGTATTCTATTGTGCAATTCCCTCTGGCTAACTCCCTGCAGACTGAAAACATATTTTCTTCATGTGAGGTATTTGTTGACAGCCTTATTTTGCAATTGTTCAAGGTGGGAGGGAAAAGCTTCCCAAAGCTCTCTGAGCGTGTGTTATTGTTACAGTACAGTACATTCATTCCATGAATGTGTAACATCCCTCCCTCACCCCTCCTCTCTTTCCCTACTGTGTAAGTTTGTCCCAGCGAGTCAGTCGGTTCACTGTGCTGACAAAGACCCACATCCCAGAGTTACAACCTATAGAACAGGTATGGTTTCTGAAATAACAGGGAACAAGTGTCTAGAAATAGCAGCATGAGCATATTGTGTACTGATTTTCTGCAATGTATATTTTTAATTAAGGCCTTGCTCTGTCCATAGATAGGTCATTAATAGATGTATATTGACTTTGATGAACATGCCACTGTATACTTTATGTCTGTGGTGCCCAGTGGGGCAGGGGTCTGTGTTAAACAAAAACCCATGTGCGGGGCGGGGGCCCCCTGGGCTAGATTCCCAGGCGGCCAGCTTCACAGCGCTCTGGATCTCAGACTGACACTTTGGGAAGGTTACCCCACAGCTAATCCTGTCTAATCCCTTCCATGGTCACAGGCTCAGCCAGCCAGCCATCCATCCATCTAACCAGCCAGACCATGCTGCTTCACCCATCTCCCCCTGCCTTACCCTCTTTCTCCACTCTTGCCCTCATGATTACAGCCTGCCCAGGCTCTTCAACCTGCCTCGTACTGGTCTATCTCTGACCCTCTTCATGCTCCTTTAGCTTTCAAGGATTCAGAGTGGTTATCTGCCTCATTTATTTGGCAATGTCAGTCTGTCGATCATTCAGTCGATCCACCACTTTGGTCCAGACTGAAATATCTAAACAACGACTGGATGGATGCCATGAAATTTGGTACAGACATTCATGGTGTGAGGAGGACGAATCCCCTCACTGCCTAAGTGCAACCTCACCGAGCCATGAGCATGGCTCCAGACTCTTAGTCTTGTTTCTAACTGTTCCTACCTCTCGTTCCCACCCTGCTGCTTGAATAAACCTACTTCACTACCAATCTGTAATTACTCATCATCCTCATCCTCTCTCTACACTGCCTCCTACTGTTGTTTTAGATATATATAATATATATCAACAGGGAAGTGGGAAAGATAGGGGATGACATGCAGCAAAGGGCCACGGGTCAAACTCAAACCCTGGGCCGCTACAGCAAGCACTCAGCCTTGGTACATGAGGTGCCAGCTATACCAGGCGAGCTATAAGGCGCACCATGCCAACCAAATGATGGTCAACAACTTACACCTAGCCTGTCAGGTCAATCATCCTCCGCTGTCCTCAGTATCAAAGGCCCAAACTATTACTGTACCGTAGCCATATTCATAAAATATTTCTGTATATTATGCTCTGTGCAGACGGTTTGGCCTACCTCTCCTCTCTGTTCCTCACTCGCCACCTCCTGAACCTCTCACCCCCATAGGTAAAAGGTCAATTAAACACGCAACCACGCAACAGGTGGGGACACTCTACTTCACTCAATCATTCTAGCAGATGGGCCTGTCTTCTAGCCTCTTCTCTTTCCGTCCTAACACCCTCCTCTGTATTCATTACAAGGATCTGCAGCTAAAGACAACCAGAAGCTGCTTCTTTGCCCTTCTCACTTATCCTGTCTGACTTACTTAAATCAGCTCTCTCTCTCTGCTGCAGCCAAGACATCTGACTGCCCGCCATCATCAGTCTCGCCATTTCGGTTTCCTTTCTTCTGAGCACAAACCTTCCACCATCCTCTACTTCCCCAGGCACCAGTGTTGTTGCTCAAGAGGAAACCCAACAACACAATTACTATAACTGACTAGAGTAAATATTTCACACTTCACACATATTTCTACCGCCATATTAGATGTTTGCTGAAAATGAATGACCAGTATATGGCACCCATGTAGGTCTGGGTCCTCTGTGTTTTAAGATTAACAATTTAGAGAGGTTGGCTGCTCAGCTGTCTTTCCTCGCATGCCACGGCATTAGACCTGGTGACACCTCAGTTCTCTGTGCTGGTCTACCACACTAACCCCCACCCCCACCACCTCTCGTTCTTCGGTCTGCTTCTCCACTCGCTGTCGCCTCTTTGATGAAGGGATTGAGTTTCATGTGTTCTCCTTTTATCCCTGGGCAGTCATAAGCCCAGAGCATAACTCATAAGCTGCCTTCTGATTCTAATCTGCAGCACTTTGCCTCTCACAATGGGACACACAGGCAACAATGACATCAGCCTTGTAGTTGGTCTATACGGGTCGGACAAACACACATGTGTACAGTGAAAGAACATAAAGATAAACAGGTGCTGGCGTTAGGAATACAAAGATTAAGAATTTCATACAGTCAGTAAACACAGATACTAGCTACTCCAAGCTCCACTGAGGGAGTGGACAGTAGCAGAAAACCCGCTGCATTTATTCCAAAATGGACTGGGATGAGGCAAAACCTAACTACCCCCTTTTCCTTGAACCTCATCCATCTTAATTCAAAACAAACCCAGGGCCGATGCTCTGTCTCAATTTACAAACCAAAAACCCAATTTCAGAGGTAAACTAAGCAAAGGTCCGCATTTCTGAGCCTTGACAGGCGATCTAGATGAGAACACGTCAACCAGAATGGGGTGTGATAAGAAACTGCCTTCCAAAGTGGAGTAAACTAGCAAGGTAGATGGGATTGGGTCACCTATGCTGCTTCAAAATGGGCCGAAGTGGTAGTAAATGTAAATGCACAGCAGATTCAGATAGCAGCAACACTTGATCAGCTATCCAAACATCAGGCAAACTGTCAGTTTCTTAACCGCTGCCTGGTGGAGAAGCTGATTAGAATGGACAGACAGATGGAGAAAAGGGTGGAGGAGGAGGAAGATAAATAGAGAAGGACAAGAAGATGAGGAAAATAAAAGTGAACAAAGTGGAGGAGGAGGTAAATAGAGGCAAGATGGAGAGCCTCTAAGGGAAAAGGATCATGTGGGAGGAGGGCAGCACTGAAACAGACTGAGGCACATGTGTGTGGATGTGCGTTTAGTGTGTATTGCTTTTTTGAGTAGTTTGAATAAACTCATTTGATGTAGCCTAGCTTGATATTTACATATAATCTGTTTGGCATGCTTGGTCACAGACCCACACACTTAATGTTTAACATTAACATTGTTCCTTTATTACTATAGCAGCACAAACAATATACACTTTGTTATTGAGTCACCTCTGATGCATCTTCTGCTGCCTTACGTAGATTATTCATTAATATTTTGCTATTTGCTTTTTTGCTTGTACTTGAGCCAACTTGAAGACAACTAGAAGGGATATAACTTGAAATGATATTGGACTGTTTCCCCGTAAAAACTGTTGAGGAGTTGTATGCTCAGGCAAAAGTGATTCATTTTGTCCGGAGGCTGCGTGCTTGAAAAGGTGAACTAACTTTAAAATAGTGGTCATATTCGTTTTGTTGTTGAAAGTTTGTAACATGTTGTGGTTTTAAGGAAGGTTATGTGCAATAATAAAATAGCACAAAAAACCAACAAGATGCTGTTTATACACTTTGGTTTTTGTTCCAGTTGTCATGCTCAGCTAACTAACTAATGGTAGCTTTATATTTAGCACGTAAACATGCGAGTGGTATCAATCTTCTACCTCTAAAAGTGAATAGGTGTATTTCTTAAAATGTCAAACACTTCCATTACCTGATTAAAACATTACATTTTGCTGTAATAAAGGTTCATGATATTAGCAACCTGGCTAATTAGAATCAGCTCCACCTTCTCTATCGGTAATGCCAGCTTTTGTGCACCAACCACATTTATATTGTTGATGTTTAACACTGACAAAACTCAAATAATTTGTTATTGTAATTGGTCACAATTCTGACATTTATATATTTAATTAAATGATCCTAATAGATTAATGTCAAATAAAAGTATTCATTAGTTGATTGAAGCCCTATCTTAAAGTGGGTTTTTTTTTTTTTGGCTTTTGACTTCTTGATTAAGAAACTTTGCCAAAGCATGCACAAGTTTCAACACTATTTAGGAAACTAGAGTTAAATCTCCACTATGGGCTCAAGGGAACTTCTGTGCAAAAGCCCTTTGCAAATCCTACTTTAGGGGCCAACAGGCCAGCCTGTGTTTAAAAAGGCCACAGTCACAGGTGCACTCATCATTCAGACATGCCAGACAACACAAAGCAATTACCCGCCTCCTTCCCCACAGTCGAACGTTGAAAGATGAGCCAACCAATAATCCTCTGTGAAACGTGTGTTACAAATTTTAAAATGCCACATAGCTATTCACCTAAACTCACAGAAGTCATTTTTGATAAAGTTGGCAGTGGTGGCCAACATCATTCTCTCTTGTTTGGCTCAAACAGGGGATGAGGGAACATGAGAGGATAAGAAACAGGATGAGGGTACGTGGTGAGAGGAGAGAGGATGGCTGCCTCTGGGCCCAGTGGGAGGGAGCAGTTGGAAAGACACTGAAGATGAGGGCCTTCACTTTAAAATCAAAGGCTGGATCAAAGTGCTGGCTGACGCCCCCCTTCCACACACACATACACACCGATTATCTTTCTCCCTCTCAGAAAAGGAGTCCGTGAGATGAAACAACACCACACTACAAAGGCAAAACAGACAAAACTCGGCTGCAACTAGTTGTGTACGACTCTGTGTGTGCATGTGTGACATCTAATCCTGTGGGAACTGATGTGAACGGCCACAGAGATATCCAGTTGTAGTACCATGTTCTCCCTGGCTCAGCTGTATATTGAACTGTTCTCTATTATGCAAACTTGTGACCAATCTGTTACATGTTCACAGTTTTTATTGGGACCCCAATGTGAAATTCAAACTAAACTACCTGTAAAAACACAGAATGCATGTGTGATTTCTAAAATACTGCATTTTTTTGTCACAGTGTTTGATGATTATGGCAAATATGCCCATCAAATATACAATAGTGTCCGATTCAATTGTATTGAATTGATTTATAATAAATACAATAATCACTAAAATCACTGATAAAGAGAAAGAAAAGGCAAATACGCATACAAACCAAGATTACGAATCTAAATCTGAAACTAACGGTGTCATAAAATGAATTAAGGGCTACTGTATTAAGACCAACACTGACACCTGCTGATGAGCCAGTGTATAGCACATCTGGAAACGAATACGATTAAATTTTGCAAGTTGCACCACCTGTTACTGTTGACATAACTCATTTCTGATTGTCTGACTGATTGTTTATCTGTCTGCATGCTTTGCCTGTTTGTTCTGCATGTCATGTGAGAACTGTGTGATCAAAATCTTAAAATCTACCCAAACCTCTTATACCATAACAGGAACAAGATGTGAACTGTTAAAGGTCAGGTTTACAAAAAAAAACAAATAATCACCAGAGAAAGTGATGTGTGGAGATGAAAAGAGAGAGTAGTTTAAAGATTTAAATCAGCCTAATGGAGATTATTCAGGCAATAATTTGTGTAGAGATTTAATACAGAGAAACATTTTAATGCGACATTCAAAAGAGGGTTTTTAGGATGACTGACAACAACAGTGCATCCTTAAAGGTCTAGTGTGTAGGATTGAATGGCATCTAGCGGTGAAGTTGCTGATTGCAACTAACTGAACACCACTGGCATCTGTATTTGATGACCTGGGAATGAGAACGGGCTGTGAAGTGAGTAAGAGAAACTACAGTGGCCGTAAAACTCGCAAAAAACACAAACTAAAGCAGTGGTTGTTTGTCCGCTTTTGGCCTACTGGTAGTAAATCGGGAACACCTGTAGATAAAAAGGGCTCATTCTAAGGTAAACAAATACACAATGGTTCTATTTTCAGTGGAATTATAACACTAATAAAAAATAACTATTGAATATTATATTCAGTGTTTGGACAATAGATGTTTACCACACTGAACCTTTAAAGTGATCAGTGGGTTTTCGTTGGACTGCGGACAACCATCAGAGTCTATGCGACAACTCGTTAATCCAATGACTGACACTTTGGCACATGTGGATTGAATCTCAACAGCTCTGTGTATGCGCCTCCACAGCATTCATCTCTGCTGTGCTCCACCCTCGCCCTTGACGCGTCTTCTGAGAGAACCTGAGAAAAAACACCTCATATGACACGCTGTTGCTGCCTGCTCACAAAGCTATTAAATGATGTTAGTTGCAAGCTGTGTGAAACAGGTTAAGCTAAGATGATTACTGATGTTGGAATGACATTACAACATTACTTATCTGATACAGTCCCGTGCTTCAACAGCGCCATATGTTAGCATATAGTGAGCTGATTTTTGGCAAGCTGATGTCTATAGAGGCAGGAAGAAATGTTGGTTCACGTGACAAAATCATACATTCCACATACTGGTTCAATGGCAATGAGCTAATTTTCTGGGGGTCAAAATTGCATGATGACTTGACATTTTTTATTGGGTTCACGTCTTACCATCATTTTGGGCAGGACTGCTTGAACATCAGCCATATCCTAAGCTCTAGAAGCTGGCCCTCCAAGAGGGTTTTTCGTGTATATTCACATTCCCAACAGGGGGAACTCCTTCACTTAACTGTTAAAGAGATAAAAATATCATACAATTTAACATACAATGTGTTAAAACTATGCTGGCCTTTGTTTTAAATACAGACATATATAATATAAGAGAAATAAAGTTGCTTCCTTACATCT